GTCAGTAGATAGTGAATCAAAAGTTGAGATAGGATCATGATGGCCGTTTTGACCAATAATGAATATAGTTTCGACACAAAAAAATCCTGAAGATGAAAAATATCGATTTTGAACACCCTATAGCTTTGTAATCATTGCCGCAAGATCTCAAGTTTGATGCATTGAAGCAATCAGTTCTTTGGGAAGAATCTGAAAATGCAATTGAACACAAGGAGTTCCATTTGAAATAATGAAGTTGTTCCTTCTCTTCGTTAGAAGCGGCAACGCCGCAGGGCTGAAAATATGTAAGAACGATGTCCTCCTGAAAAATGTAGTTGACGTGTTTCGGAGTTTTTTCATAATCCGGTTTTGGCGACCTACAGAGCCTCTGTTTCGTTTTCAAAGGGCCACCCTGTATATAGGGGTATTATAGAGTTATTCAAGTTATCAGGCAGCAAGAAACATTCTACTTTGTTCAAAGAAAGATGACCTTGAAAAAACATCCTTCAAAATTTCATCCTATGTGATTTTCATTGGCAGAACTGAGAGAAATCATTGGAAATGATATCAACATTCATATCAATCAGAAGTACCTATCGAATAAAGAGTAAACTTTTAATACTTAACATAATAACGACAAGAAGTTGGTCTGAAGCTGCAACGACAGAGTTTCAGCAACTGCTGATGAAAGTTTGAAAACAGCTACTATTAAGGGGTTTCTTATAGATGACCTCAGGCTTGCAATAAATAAAATAAGTTCAACTTTCTACAGGATTCAACTGAAGTAACAATTGAAAAACAAATCTCTTGTCCTTGACTTGCAATGATTGTTTTCCACAAGATTGACAACACACTTTAGTTGAACCCTGTATATTTTGTATCGGTGCAGGCATCGAAGGATTCAAGGACGACCCGGCGCGAATGATATCGGTTTTTTTTTCGAAGAAGAATATCCGATAATGTATGATTGTGTATTTAAAAGCTTGTCCTCGCATCCTAGATGTTAGTTTATGACTTTGCCTCTCCAAATGCTCTTTTTCTACACACGAAAAAATGTTTTTTTGTATGTGTATGGATGATGGTACGCAGAGTCATTTACCCAGGATGCACTAACATACCCTTATAAATGTAATTTACATTAATTTAGTATACTAGACAATTTTTATAATAATTATTTCTAATTTATTTTGTAAGTTATTATTGTTGGATGCATCTAGCAAATAAAATATAAGTTCTAATGGCCAGAAGATTCTGTTTTATTTCTGGGGATGTACACACTAGTCGAATATACGCCACAAACCTATTTTATTTCGATCATTCCGTGTGAAAATAGAATTTGATGAAGTTATTCGTAATTGAAAATCATCGCAAATATATTTTCTTCGGAAAAAATTAAATTTGGCACCCTCGAAAAAGCCAGTTTTGATGACGTAATGAATCGAACCGAGAGTCATCGTTATCTGAATTCTGACTTCTACAGAAAAAGATTTTTAACTAGTAATTACTTTATGTGATCCAATAAGATCGATGAAAACAGTATTCACATTCACAGGAGACAGCAGTTCGACCTGGTCCTTAGCAATCCCTCATTGAGTACTCATATACGTGCGAGATTTTTCAGTACTAATGAAAATATCTAGGTTTTTCTATTGATGATCGAGATTTTGGTAAACCCAATTTTTTTTGTCGCACTGGCAACAGCGTAATGCCCAGAGGTTCCAGAAAAACAAAAAGAACGAACTACATAAGGCCTGTTCGTTTATGCTTGCTCAACCTGCTGAACTTGATTTTTTTCTATGACTTTCTCTCTTTACATTATGTCATGAACAGAGACAACTATGGGAAAGAAATCAACTTCAGCAAGTTTAGCAATACAAACGAACAGGCCTATTGTCAACTCAACTTCCTAACATCACCTTGATCTTCGAATCCTAGTTTCATCTAGTCAAGATGGAAATATTCAAAGATGTTTCTCTTATTATCGGATTCTTCAGTTGTGTGTTGTGTTCTCTGTTATCTGCAGTAAGTTTTCAGTCCATTGAATTCACTAGAGACTATGGCAAGCACTTTCTGAAGTGGTGAACTTCTTTCATATTCGGATTGATATGACAATCAGAAATATTCTTGGTCTTGGAGAATTGCAAGAGTACAATCAGCTCCTGGAAAGGGCGAAAAAGACACTACCTTGCAACTAGAGACCGATCGCACTGCTATCTATTATTTCAAAGATTATGAAGGAAGCTCATGAAATACCTGGAACATTCAGGTATTATGAACGATAGGCAATATGGCTTTCGTCATCAGAGATCAACTGGTGACCTGCTCGCTTACGTCTCACATATATGACAGCAATCTATCAAAAAATATGGTGTAACTCTAGCCGTGGAACTTGAAATCTCCAAGGTATTCGATCGAGTCTGGCACTAGGGACTCCTCGCCAAGCTTCCATCTCATGGCTTGCCGCCCCAGCTATGTTCTCTGCTAGCTAGTTTTCTCTCAAAGAGGTCTCTCCATGTAGTGGTCGACGGAGTTTTATCGACTCTCTTACCATGAATGCTGGTGTTCCGTAAGGATCAATTCTAAGACCAACACGATTTCTACTCCATATCAACAATTTGTTGGAAGCAGTTTCATGTCCAGTACACAGCTTCGCGGATGATAGTACCCTCCATACCGCCTTCTCTTCCAAGGCCCCAATACCAGCCAGGCAAATCCGAAACGAACGAGGGCGAAACGTTAACAACATGAATATGGACTTGGCAACAATATTATAGTGATGATATAGACAACTTAATTGGAAAGCAAACCAGTCTCAATAACGACATTGAGAACTTAGTAAAGATGTCACAAAATCATTCACTCAGAATCAATCCCAGTAAGTCGTCAGCAATTATCTGTGGTAACGCCAAAAGTCGTCAGAGGGCCATGGACAATATATCCATACAAGTAGATGGACAAACTGTAACATTCAATGATACAACAAAATGCTTGGGACTACTCATCGACAATAATCTAAGATTTGTCAAACATGTGAACAACCTTATTCGACGTTCTTATGGATTATTAAAAAACTTATACTCAAACAGACATTATTTAAATAAGAAACTGAAATATCGAAGACTGGAACCTTTGGCACGATAATACACTACACTGTTTTACCACTAACCAAACCGATGTTTCAACGCCTCGACACGTGTTTCGCTAACTATGTTAGCATCTTCAGGAGAAGATTAAAACTGTTTTAGTTAGCGAAACACGTGTCGAGGCGTTAAAAAATCGGTTTGGTTAGTGGTAAAACAGTGTAGTGTAATAAACTGAAAATAACACTGTGTGACTCTCTGATTTTATCTATATTCAATTACAGCGATATTGTCTATGGCCCATGTCTTGATCATGTAACCTCATTACGAATCCAAAAAATACAAAACAGTTGTGTGCGATTTATATATAATATTACTTTTAAGGAACATGTATCGCTCCTTAAAAAAGAAATTGGTTGGTTAAAAATGGAAAATAGACGGGAATTGCACCAATTATGTTTTCTATACAAACTATCAAGTACTAGAATTCCTGAAGTATTAGCAAATAGACTCATACCCCGACATGAAATACATAATAGAAACTTGCGAACCAACACGATTCTCACTATACCAAAACACTCATCAGTTTTCTATGAACGATCATTTTCATATCAGTCTGCATCAAAATTTAACAAATACCATGAATTTATGAAATATAAGTTCTTTATAACGTTCAAAATACAAATGAAGAAGTTCTTACTCGGCAAACAGTGATCAATAGGAAAGCATGAATATTAATAAATATTCTCAGTCCATAACAATGTTTGAATATGTATTATGTAATATTTTTGTTTATTTTTGTATTTAATCTCCTATCCTGGTTGAGTGGAAGAGCAGCGTCAGTTGAACTCCGCCTGGTTAAATTAAGGCAATTTATTATTATTATTATTATTATTAATTCTCGAATGGAGATCCAATCACTTGGTATATAGAATTCAATGCAATCAGAACACAAGCATGCCTTTTCTCTAGAAAAGCCGATCAAACTGTGCCCAACATGAGCTTGTCAGGAGTAACCTTACCTTTGAAGACATCAATTTCGATGCTTGGTATTACCATCAGCACTAATCATTCTTGGAAAAATCACGTGAGATCAATTGCTGAAAGTGCATCCCAAAAACTTGGTTTTCTGTTTCGAGCCAGGAGCTATTTCACTTTCAGTCAGCTGCTTATGATCTATAAGGCACAGATTCGACCTTTCCTGGAATACTATTTCCATATTTGGAGTGCAGCACCCAAACATACCCTGAAACTGTTGGATTCTGTCCAAGAAAGGGCAATTCGTCTCGTGGGTGATGCCTATCGCTCACGAACTCAATCACTTCTCTGGAACACCGTAGAAAAGTCGGCGATCTGGCTCTTTTTCATTGATATTTCCATGGACGATGCTCTTCTTGAATACCAACGATTGTTCCTTCCTTGTCAGTCCCCGCGAGATTAACCCTTCGAGTTGAGGCTTCGCACCGCTTCGTGGTTACTTTGGAAACCTGCAGAACATCTCTTCCCAGAGACTCGTTCATCCAACGAAGAGCGAGGCTCTGGAACACATTGCCAAGAGAGGTGTTCCCCGAGGCATATAACCTTCAGAAATTCAAGAAGAACACCAATTCCTACCTTATTTCCCTTGGTTCTCACGATGTTCTCTGAACATTACAGGATATTCCTTCTCGTAGGAACCAGAACATGAAAAAAACTAGATTCGAGTGCAATTGATGCGAATCTCGCATGAGAACAGTGAATTCGGAATTAATTATAATACAGGTGGATTCATCTTCATTAACTAGTGGTTAATAAAATGACGAAAACTACTTTGGTAATCAAACCACAATTTACGCCTTGAATAGGAATAAATAATAGTTAGTTCGATATAGCTAGCGATGAAAAAATATTTTTTGTTCCACGCTGGTGTTCATCTTGATATAGACGGAAATAATGCACGTTTTCGATATAAATGATAAATTTTATTCATATTTACAGCCTATCCCTTTCGTAAAATCAAAGTTCGAATCGTAACTACTCCTAAATATCAGTTAGTTTTTTGGTACATTCAGTTTTTGTGCCACATCAAATTGCGCATCTACTGCGTTGTATAACCTCACATTGATAAAGCTGTCTCTGCTTTTTTCATGTTGTTTGGAAAACAGCAAAATGTTCTTACTAATATATCGCAAAAAATGTGACATTATTCTTCAATGGGGAATGGGAAATATGATGGAGCTAGTGTTTTCACTACTTTTTCTCTCCGTTGAATTCGCAAATCAATTGACAACAAATAACGACTTGCAGTGATGATTTTGGATGGGGAAATTATGGAAAAGTTGAAGAAAAGTGTGACCGGAGCCTAGAATCCAACTATAAGAGGCTATGGTATTTATGGTATTAATATCTAAAAATTTCACGAAGTCAATTCACAAAATGAGTCATATAAAAAATGAAATTATCAGTTTCACGAGTATTTTCAATCATCGACCATGGGTCCAGAAAGGTTATTAAAGTTTTCGCTATACAGGGTGAGTCATTGAAATGGGAAAGTGAGATAACGGCTTCGCTGTTTGAGATAGATGAATAACAATTTTTTGTGATGGTCTAGGCTCATGAGTAGCATATTTCTAAATCACTTTGCGTATACAGGTTGACTCAAATATGCGTTTGCGTATCAAAGTTATACTTTTTATTATAGGACTCCCTGTATTTTATTGCATTTTCGGATTCTCTTTTGTGAGCTGATTCTATCAATACATTACATTCGGGATCTAGCGAGAGTGATTACAAAGATTTAGGGTGCTCAAAATCGAGATTTTTCAACTTTCGGATTTTTGGTGTCGAAACTATTAATTATATTGGTCAGAACGGCTCACATGTCTCCATTTCAACTTCTGATTTACTATCTACTGATATTTAGTTTGGACGAATACAGGTCAGTTCAAAATTCAGAATTATGAACCACCCTGTACTCGTTCAAGCTAAATATTAGTAGATAGTAAATCAAGAGTGAGATAGGGACATGTGAGCCCTTTTGACCAATAATGAATAGTTTCGACACAAAAAAATCCTCAAGTGAAATAGTCTCGATTTTGAACACCCTATATATCTGTAATTATTCTTGTTATACCCCAAGTGTGATGCATTGATGGAATCAGCTCACCAAGGAGAATCCGAAAATGCAATAAAATACAGGGTGTCCCATGAGAAAAATGATATTTTTGATACGTCACGCATTATTGAGTCACCCTGTATAACGCACAATATTTTGTAAATGTGCTGCTCATGAGCCTAGACCATAACAAGAATTTTTGTTCATCTATCTCAAACACTTTCATATTTCATTGACTCACCCTGTATACGTTGAATCATACTTGATATCTGATAACTGAACACCTATAGAGTGAATAAAAAAACATCGCCCTGATTTTGTTACTGTTGTGAAAATTCGATGTAGAAATGCGATCAGATCATTCCTGTGAAGTGTAGATCATATTTTGAGACTTCGTGAAGGTAATATCGAATAAAGTTATATTATTTCCATTAAGAGTGATGATTTCCTATTCTCTAAGTTTGTGCCACTCTGCTATCTGCCTCCTCGGGGAATTACAGACCTCGTTCCAGTGGTGCAATGCTGTGCCTGTACATTTTGCACCTCCTAGATCTAACCTGCCAATTATCTGAAAAACAAAAAAATTTAGTTTTTTTGGGATGAAATTTCTCGTTAATTAGAAGAATTAGAACAAATCTGATATCATGGGAATATTACTTAGACTGTATCATATTAAAATGCTGAATATGTGGACTCATTCCAAGAACACCTTGTATATATATATAAAACAAATAGAAAAGAATGAATCAACGAGTTATCTCAATTTAACATAATTATTGAAATAAAATCATCCCAAGTATTCAAATGAGTATAAATTGCTCCGTTTATAGTGTCATGAGTATATTATATTTTTTCCAATTGACTTTGAATCTTGTTTCATCATCAATATGTTTCAAATCATATAAGGTAATGGATTATATGAAGAATTATATGAAATGATTCGGTTGTAGAATACTGATTGTTTGCCAATAATGAAGTTATATGGGCTTGCTATAAATGATGGATTCAACTGTCTCGTTTCATGAGTATAATTTGTATTTACTTCAGTGAAGTTCGAGCTGGATATTTTTGTTTTTTTTTCTCACAAAATGAATAGAAAAGCACATTTATATTTTATATGGAGATGATAATTTCGAAAGATTTTTTGGTTTGGAAAGATTAAATGTTCCAGATAAAAATTGTAAATGCACTTAATTGTTTCATTTTGTGATTTCATTAATGATTTCAACTGTGATATACTTGTGCTTTCCCAAAGTGATATTGATTTTGAGTAGGTAAATCAGACAAGAATATATATTCTCCAAATATCCAAGAGGAATGAAATTTCGAATATTGTATAGAATGCCAGTAATTGTATTTAGCTTTTTTCTCAGGTGATCTATATATTAAGCCCACGATAATCGTGCATCAATATAAAGACCTAAGAATTTTGTAACATCTGAATATTTCATGGCTTTCTCGTCGAAAAATATCGTTTTTCATATATATCATTCTCAAGTCAATTTTCATATCATCAATCACATCATTAAATCCTTTAGAAGAAAATATTATTGCAGTATCATCTGGAAATAACTTCAGATCTCCTTTCAGTTTCGAATATTCTATAGAATTGATGTTGATTGAAAAAGATAACATTGGACCTAAAACGGACCCTTGTTGTACACCAATTTTGATTTTCCTTACAGAACAATAAATATTATTGACTTCAACATACTGCTTTCTATTTTCCAGATAATTTCTCAATCAATCAAATATTTTTCCTCTGATACCCATTGAATATTTTTTACTCAGTAAAATATCATGATTTACAGTATCGTTTTCTTATCATGACTTCAATACTGTTCAGATATTTACATGAAATATGACATGCATCTACTGAGCACCATGTGGTATGTAGGTAAATGGTATTTCTGTCTAATTTTCATTCATGAAAAGTAATAATTGAAATAATATTGATATTTTTTATTTCATAGAGATGGGGACAGAAAATCCCAAATGATCTGGAATAATTGAATTAGCCGAAACGGTTTTTATTCTTTTACGCGAAAACCGTACGTTGGACTGAAAAATGCAAGGGATTCAAATCAATACAAAATGAATGAGAATTTCAAGAATTATTACCATATACGGAAAAAGCAAAGGCGTACGATATTGTTTTTGAAAAACCTCCAGTATACATCCCATACGGCCGCCACTGGCAGAAATATTGGAAGATCTCGAACATCAAAAGATACCTATTGGTACCAGTAGGTGCATGTCGAATTTCATGTCATCTATATCGGAGTTGAGATAAGAAAACGATTTCTTTCTTCAAATTTCAACAGCCTATAAGTTAAGAAGTTTAGGGCATATTTTCATGAGACGTTTCTTTTTTCAACCCTCCAGTACATGATTTTGATAACATTAGTACGAACATCGCTCTGTGATACTGGATGCCAGAAATGCTATTTCATTTGTCATGTCGTACTTAGAAAGTGATTTTATTCATAAAAAAGTATTGTGTTAGTATTCATTTCATCATCATTCCACACTATTTTCAAAGAGAATGAACAATTAAGCTTAATCTTCTTCGGAGTTATCAAATTTGTCTTTACCAGTGAAATAGGGCTTTTCTTGTCTATACTGATGAGTTTGGTTCCGATTCAGACCTCTTTTCGAGATCTTCTACAGACTCTGGTTCTAACTCTTGATCCAACTCGGAATCTTCTGAGCGCTTTTCAACATAATCTTCCTCACTGGAGTCTGGTAGGTCACGAAAAATGCTATTACAAACTTTCCACTAAAACAATTGCTCCGCGTAATAGTGGGGGCTCAGTTTCTCAGACGAAATGTAGTACTGAAGGGTTAAATGAACAACGAAACTAAATCCTATAATCTGAGCCATTAATTGAATTACACCTTGTATTATACGAATTAATGCAGTTGGCTCTTAGTTGAAAATCAAAATCACATGTTTTTTTGTGATTTTTTCCTTCGATGGACGAAATCTTACTTCATTCTTCGTTACTCTATCCCAGTCGAGCAATAGGAATTCTAGACTGACAGCTCCCAGACCATCTCCGCCTTGTGGAATGTCAAATACGAAACTTTCATTGAAAACAGGACTCAAAGTCCTCTTCTTCACGTGTGTCTTCTTCTTTGCAATTCTCTGCCCTGTAACCAAACATTAAATAAAAAATTAACCATTTGAAACATTGGTAGAATCCCTATTCAAAGTCAGGGCAGCTGAAAACCATCAACGAGTATTTATTTTGAATGGTTAGACACTGTTGATGCCATCTTCAGTAATATAACCTTGAAATCGTTTCATGATGTTTCACAACGAAGTTGAATTTGTTGAAACAAAAAGAATTACCGTTATATAACAGATATATCTTGACGTAGGGATCTGCCAAACCAGTGATGTCCATCTTGGGAAGATTGCGAGCCTTCAAGACTACCACGGTGAGTCTGTTAGCTGCTGGTTGCCAGCACAATGACACTAAGATATCTCCACGGCCTTGAGAACGAATCTAAAAAACGCGAAATTATTACAATTCTGAAATTCTCATACCTTTCTGCAACTATTTATAGATCATCTATGGAAATTTTAGTTCGATCTTCGTTTTTTTTTAATTGACTTGGCCATTACTCGATTCAAATCCATACCGAATGTAGAAACTTCACAAACGATAAGATTTCCTCGAAATTCTCAATCACATAACATGTTTTGCTAACACAGTCGTAGCTTCATCAGGTTTTTTTTATGTTATGGTTCCCACGAAGAGGGATGTCCTGTAATGTTCAGAGAACCAAGGGAAATGAGGTAGGAGTTGGTGTTCTTCTTGAATTTCTGGAGGTTATATGCCTCAATGAACACCTCCCTCAGCAATGTTCTCCAGAGCCTCGCTGTTTGTTGGATGAACGAGTCTTTAGAAAGAGATGTTCTGCAGGTCTCCAGAGTGACCATGAAGGGGTGCGAAGTCTCAACAGATCGCCAACTTTCCTACGGTGTTCCAGAGAAGTGTGTGAGTTTGTCAGCGAGACATCACCCACACGAGACGAATTGCCCTTTTTTGGACAGAATACAACAGTTTCAGGGTATGTTTGGGTGCTGCACTCCAACTATGGGAGCAGTATTCCAGGACAGGTCAGATCCGTGCCTTATTGATCATAAGCAGCTGACTGGAAGTGAAGTAGCTCCTGGCACGAAACAGAAAACCAAGTTTTTGGGATGCACTTTCAGCAATTGATCTCACGTGGAAAAATTATTGCTGATAGTAATACCAAGCATCGAAATGAATGTCTTCAAAGGTATGGTTACTCCTGACAAGCTTATGTTGGGCACAGTGAGATCGGCTTTTCTAGAGAAAGAGCTTGTGTTCTGTTTGCATTGAAATCTAACAAGTTATTGGATCCCCATTCGAGAATTGTTGCCAAGTCCATATTTATGTTGTCAACATTTATTTCTCGTACGTTTCTGATTCGCCTGGCTGGAATTGGAGCCCTGGAAGAGAAGGCGGTATGAAGGGTACTATCATCCGCGAAGATGTGTACTGGACATGAAGTTGCTTCCAACAAATCGTTGATATGGAGTAGAAATAGTGTTGGTGCTAGAATTGGTCCTTGCGGACTGTGCTAAACATGCCGTGTGATCAAAAATTTTATGGAAATCTCATCGTTTGAGGAGTTTTTACAATAAACTGCTTGACAGATGCAGTGGTCCACCGGAATATTCCACTCAATTTAGAAATCAAATATTATAAAAAATACTAGTTCGATTCTCTAACGGTTTGTTCCATGTTGTGTAATAATCAGACAAGAATGAGATGGTCTGCCTACTCTGTCCATGAAGTTTGTGTTTCCAGATATACAAGAGGAAACATTGACCCATTACAAAAATGAATATTCCCAAAGTTATCCCAATCATATGAACATTTTCGGATATTTTTCGATGCTTGATGTTTTTTGCCGAAACGGTTTGGAGATTTTTCCGCTAGCATACTTCATTAACATGTAACATCTTTTTTATGGAAAATTGACATTTTCGTCACTTGTATTTCTTTGATTTTGAGCGAATACCGAACTACAGGGTAATTCGAAATTTCAAAAGACTTGGAAGTCAGTTATACATATTGTGATATCAACTCTAAATGCTCTATATATTATTGTAGAATGATTTATATTATTCCTGTTATCATTTCTGATCTACTGATGACATGTTACCCCGAATATTTTGTCCAATATTGTCCAATATTGTCAATCAGGTCGTTTAATTCTTTTTTGAATGTCAAATCAATGATCACCCATTGTGGGAGCACGACTAAATATCCCGTACAAAAATATTCTGTCAAAGAAATCCTGCCGAAAATAACCTGCACATTAATATATTTAGACAATGATAGCCTGACCAATAACATTTCCCTTCCTCAGTCAAATTATTATAATGATTTTATAAGGATATAAATGATAAGGTTATTTTCAGCATGATATTTTTGACAGGATATTTTTGGACGGGATATTTAGTCGTAGACCCACTATTGTACCCTAATCCTCATGTATCGAAATTTCCTTCATTACCTGTCATGCATTGATATAAGTGTTCGCCACAACATTCATTGTTGTCTGTAATATAATAGAACAATTTAAGAACAACAACAATATACAAGGTATATTGAGAATTATTGCTTCGCATGATTAAATGACAATAACATTAACTTCCATGCAAACATTTGTTTTTCATCCGATGTACTGACACATCAGGAAATTTCAGTATTTAGTAGGACCTCCACCTACATGCAGGAGAGAACGACATCCTGATGGCATGCTCTTTACTAACCTTTGTATAAATCGGCGTGGCATTTTCTATCCCACTCTTCTTGAATCATTCTTGAATAGTAAAATGATTTCAATATTCGAGAAAACATGCTGTTAACATGCAATCAGGAGATCAAGAATGATAACAGGAATACGAAGCATTCAAAGTTCCAATCACAATATGCATGACTGAATTTCACGTTTCTTTGGTATCTCAAATTACCCTGTAGATAGATACCTATTTGCTCAATCCGAAGCAATTGAAGTGATGAATTCCTCCCTGAATCGATTTGATGAAAAAACTCTTTTATTTGATGAACAGATCAGCTGAAATTGAGGACATTCCAAAAATACGTCAATTTTCCATGAAAAAAGATGTTGCATGTTGTTGCTAGCAAAAAAATCTCGAAATTGTTTCGGCAAAATACATCGATCATTCATAATATGCCCTAGAAAAAAATCCGCAAACTTTTCCATATGATTGGGATAACTTTGAAAATATTCATTTTTGTAATGGGTCAATGTTTCCCCCTGTAGATCTGAAAACAGGAACTTCATGGGCAGAGTAGGTAGACCATCTTATTGTTGAAAGAATATTGCACAACATGGAATAAACCGTTCCAAAATCGGACCAATATTTTTTATAATATTTGATTTCGAAATCAAGTGAGATATTCACGTAGACCACTTCATTTGTCACGCAGTTTATTTAAGTTGATAAAATATTTTTTTTAAATGCAGCAAACCTCACCAAGACAGAAAGGGAGATGGTTTTCACTTACTTTCAAACTCCTGGGTTGAATTTCTCTGCTGACTGCCATCTGTTGGGACTCTATTTGCGTGATATCAACTGTATTTAGAGTGCAGAACACTTCTCCGATAATGTCATCTCTACTGTATCTGTCAAAACTCAAAATGACGAAGTGCAGAGTTATGTTGGAGAGTTGGTTGAAATCTGCAGAAAGAAGAGAAAGGAAATTGGTGAAACCAATCAGGGTAATAGGTTGTCACTGTATTAACATCAGATCAGAAAAATGATCTGATATTTCCGATTCATTCATTTCGAGACACCTGGATATGTATATACATACCGATCCCGTAAAAAGTGAAATCCTCATCGTATACTGGGTTCCTAGTGTTGCGTAAAACACGAGTTTTCACTTTATGTTGTTTATCCGGAAGAAGTTGGAGCTTCACATAAGGATCACTGGATCCTACGCTAGTGTCCTTGGCTGGCAAATCTCGACAACGCACCACTGATACTATCAAAGCATTTTTATCGGTTTTATATCTGGAACATGTGGAAAAACATAGTGAAACTTTCACACCATTGCATATGCTTTTTTTTATTGTTTATTGCTTATGGAGAAACTAGCTTTCAGTCAGAAATAAAAGTCTGGTATGAGGAAGTTGATAACCAACAACAATAATAAAATGATATAAGGTGACAACAAAAACAACAACAAAATCTAAAGAATATAAAAATGCTGAATTGATCAAGGCATAAAAATATGGCCACAGGGACTGATCAGTAGATGGCAAAGTATCAGTTCTGTCCATTATTACGTAATAAATTCCGTTTCTCCTATCCAATTTGGAATTTCGAAATGTGTCTGCAATATTTCATATTATGTGGTAATTTATTGAATTCAGCTAGAGCAGCGTGAGTAATTTTTTTTGGCCAATTATAGAAGTAGCAGAATCAAGATGAAATAAGTTCAATTGTGCCGTGTGATAACCATGAATTTTTGAGTTTCCTAACAAAACAAAATTGGATTTCAGATTATTGTTTATGATATTATATGAAACTTTGAGAAGATCTTTCTTTATATAATTCATCCAATGAAAATTTTTCTGTTATCGCATACAGATCATTTGTTGGGATATCGAATGAGAGGCGATAAAATACCTCAGTTTGAAGACTAGCTGTCCCAAAAAGACAGCATTCTGCTGGAGATTCTTCTCATTGGCTTCCACTTCTTCTTTTGTCGGTACCTGATTTTTTTCGTTCTCGTTATTATAAACGTCTTTCGGTTGAGTGGAAGCGCCGGATTTGGGTTCCACATGATTTCCGGTCATCACTCCACTTTCCAGAGGTCCGATGATGCTGCTTGTGGGACTGGGCGTATGTGGATGTGGAGTTGACATCTGAAATCGATCGTATCATCTGAATCTGAGGTTAAATAGCAATTTTTGTTTTGTTTCGTTTTGTTTTTTTCTTTGTTTTTTCTTTGTTTTTGGTTGTATGATAAATTGGAATTCATCATGGACGTGGAAAGAAATTCTGAATTGAGAAAACCTGATCACGAATCTGCGATTGAGGTCTATAAAAATAACAAGTTTCCATCGTTCAAGTTTGAACTCCTTGATTGGGTGAAAGTGAAAATTATGGACATAAAAAAATGGATATATATATATACATGAAGAAATATATTTAGAATTCGCATTCTCTATGTGATAAAAGTATCAATTCATTCTCGGTTTATTCAACAGAAAACAACTACTTACCTGGCTATATGCCACGACGAACATTGAATTATTCTTATCTATTGAACATACACGATAAGATTTTGAAAACAAAATCTTCTGAAGTAGAGATCTTGCATTCTTCTTCATATGAAGATATGCACATAATATTATCATTCTGAATATTCAACAGAAAACAACTATACTTTCCTGGAAGTTCCAAGCTCATCAAGATCAGAGTTTATACAAGTATCCCAGATAGCACACAATCGACACACAAATATTTCATTGAATCAAACGAATATTTCATTGAATCAACCAAATATTTCTTCGAATCAACCGGAATCAACCAAATATTTCGTTGAATCAACTTAATATTTATTTTGATTGAATCAAAATCTTGTTATTTTGAATCAAACAAAATGATGGTTTGAGCCAATTCAATATATCTACATAAACAATTCATGGATGTGCTTGATTGTAGAAAATCCAGAGTTCATGCAAGACATATTTACTTGATTCAAAATTCAAATTCATTCTGAAACAAGATTCAGATTTACTCATTTCAAGATTTTATTTTGTCGTGTATACATGATGTTTCCTAAGTACGTGTAGAAAATTCAGGAGTATGTTGCTGACGTCAAAATAAGAAGAAAAGTTCGTATAAATATATGTCCGAAAGTTATTCGTTTCTGAGTTACAGAGTGTCAAAGTTGAATCCTATTTTTTGTTCCTTGTTAATAAATTTCAAAATAATTGTGATATTTGAATAAAGTATAGTATCTTGGGGTAATTTTCAATGACAATATCGAATTTTATGTTAGTTTGTCTCTTTCGTGGGGGTGGCGCCACCTACATGTATTTTGAGTCTTTCAAAATGTTATAATAGTTTCCTAGAACACTGTGTGAAAAATATATTCTTGGTAGAGGTCGCTGCGAGCAACTGATTTCGAGTTATTGGGATTCGAAATAATGGATGCATTTGAATTATTTACATGTGGCTCGTGAGTCGCCTCTAGTGAATATCAGAAACGATACGCCAGTGCATTTTTCTTCTATTATTCAATATTCTCCTACATTCAACATTGGAATGTAGGCAAAATATGATTCTTACTTTTTTGTACCTACTTTTTTGGACTCTTCCAATTTAACAAAATAACATTCAAGTGAGTACTTCTCATGTTATTTCAATCCGTTCTTGTGACATGTAGTTGTCTTCTGTACTTGTGATCCAAGCTTTTTCAACTTACTTTTGGTATCAATTTGGTATTAATTACTGTTATCACTATTATTTAGTATTTTATTGTGATAATACCCCATTCCCATTTTTTAATAAAAAATAATTTCCCTTACTCAAATAATCAATTTTGAATCCCAACTTCTTGTCATTTCTTGTATATTTGTATTTTGAACTGTATTTGATGTGCACTGACTTGTCCAATTGCTTTTTCAAGCTCATCTTAATGGATCAATAAAGACTCAACTTGACCTAACTCTACTTAACTGTACTCACCCCTGGGGGTGTTTTTGAGGCCCCCGTCGGACTGGGGCTCTTCTTCAGATAGTGCGGCCCGGCTCCCACGGCTCCCACTGCCGTCCCTCCCACGCCTCCCGCGGGGCTTCGCACCGCCGTCGGTCTGCGACGGCTGTGGAACGCTAAAGGCTGGTCTGCACCGGCGCGTTTCACGCCGAGGCGGCGGTGGCGGCGGCGGTAGCAGTACCACGTGACGGCGAGGATGAGCCCGCCGAATAGGAAGCCGCCCACGCATACTGCGATCACGGTCGGGCTGGTTACTGCAAGGAAACAACAGAGGGGTAAACCGCGGTGGAATTCTGGTGGAATTCCTTGGGTTTCCTTGGAATTCCTTGGATTTTCTTGAAATTTCTTGAAATTTCTTGAAATTTCTTGAAATTTCTTGAAATTCCTTGGAATTCCTTGGATTTTTTCGAAATTTCTTGAAATTCCTTGGATTTTCTTGAGATTTCTTGAAATTTCTTGTAATTCCTTGGATTTCCTTGGAATTCTTTGGATTTCCTTGGAATTCTTCGAGTGAAGTGCGGTAGAATTCTGGGGAACAAGCAACTGGAATTCCTTGGAATTCCTTAGATTTTCTTGTATTTCCTTGGAATTCCTTGGATTCCTTCGAAATTTCTGTGAATACCTTGGATTTCCTTGAAATATCTCGAAATTTCTTGGATATCCTCGGATTCCCGTGGAATTTCTTGGAATTCCTTGAAATTCTTTGGATTTCTTTGAAATTTCTCGAAATTTCTTGAAATTTCTTGAAATTTCTTGAAATTTCTTGAAATTTATTCCTTGGATTTCTTTCCTTGGAATTCCTTCCGAGTATGTACATACAAATAATGCCCAGCTCTGGCCTGAGTGAATGATAAAATTTCACACCATGAGAATATATTTTTGTGGATGACTAGTAGAACAAAAATAAATATCTTGAATGGTTGATATTTTTTTCCTAATAACTCCTATAACTCTCTATGATTATTGATTTGTAGGATAACGAACGACTCTGTATTCCCCATGAGGAATTGACCTTTTTTGATCAGCTACCATCTTTCAAAAAGATAATGTCAAAGTATGAAAATGAAAAAATGTGTCAGCTCCGCTTCATCGTAATCTTCCTTGTCTTAAGAATACTGCAGTAGATATATCTCGAAACTCTTGATACTACGCGAAGAAAACTGATTCAAAGAAAGAAACAAATCTGATGAAATTGTTCGATGGTCTTTGTTTACGCCTAAAGCAATCGACAGCCTCCCACTCAATAATAATCCTCTACTCTTTCTCAAGATATTTCATGTCATTTCCATTCATTCGCCTTCATCACTTTTCAAAATACACGTTTTCTCAGTGTATCAGTTTTGTCTCCAGATTTACCCAATCGAAGTGAATCGTGGAAAAAATGAAACGAAAGAATTAACCTGAACTTTGTCGCTCTGCCCCGTATATCGAACATAGAAGCCCAAAATGAGAATGGCAATATGAAAGTCGAGGTATCTCTTTTGGGGAGCCCAAGAATTCTTTGGGAAGTCTGGGAATTCATTGGGAAGTCTGGAATCTCTTTGAGAAGTCTGGGAATTCCTTGGGAAGTTCTAAAATTCCTTGGGAAGTCTAGGAATTCCTTGGGGAGTCCGGGAATTCCTTGGGGAGTCCGAGAATTCCTTGGGAAGTCTGGGAATAACTTGGGGAGTCCAGGTAGTCTTTGGTGATTCCGCGGGTATTCTTTAGGAAAACCAGGAACTCTTTGAGATAGTTTCAGGGAAATTGTTTCGACAAAGGAACTCTAGTGTACCTACCCGAAATTGGCCAGTGATTTATCACCCGGATAACCCTTTATGATGATCTTATCCGGTTTTTCAAAATCGTCTCGCCTGAGTTAATCATCTGATTTCACACCATGAAGATATATTTTCGTGGATGACTAGGAAATCAAAATGAACTATATTGAATGATATTTTTTTCCAAATACACCACCCTAACTCTCATTGAATATTGATTTGTATGATAACGAACGACATTGACATTTCCAGACTCTGTATTCATCATGAGGAATTGACCTTTCTTGATCAGCTGCCATCTTCCAAAAAGATAATGTCGAATATACTATACGTAACAGTAAAAGTGTGACAGCTTCGCTATATCGTTATTTCCCTTGTCTTTAGAATGCTGCCGTAGGTATTTTTCGAAACTCTTGATACTACGCGAAGAAAACTGATTCAAAGAAAGAATCAAATCTGATGAAATTGTTCGATGATCTTTGTTTACGTCTGGAGCAATTGACAGCATCCCTCGGCCATTTCAGCGGGTTTCTCAAGATATTTCATGTCATTTCCATTCATTCGCCATCATCACTTTTCAAAATACATTTACCCAATCGAAGTGAACAAGGATTATCTGCACTGGAGGGTACGAAAAAGTGATTAGTGAAATATCAACTGAATTTGAAATTGATGTAACACGGGATATTATACCATTGATCAAGTAGGTACTCAAGTTAGTGATGAGAAACACCGTCAAACTTTGTCGCTTCGCCCTGTATATCGATCATAGGAGTCCAAAATGAAAATGGCAATTCAATAGTCGAGGTATTCCTTGGGAAGTCCGGGAATTCATTGCAAAGTCTGGAAATTCATTGGGAAGTCTGGAAATTCTTTGGGAAGTCCAGGAACTCCATGGGAAGTCCAAGAATTCAATGAGAAGTCCGGGAATCTCTTGAGTATTCCAGGTAGTCTTTGGGAATTTCGAATATTCTTTAGGAAGTCCAGGAATTCCTTGGGTAGGTAGTCTTTGTTGTGTAGTCCAGGTAGTCTTTGGGAATCCCGGGTATTCTTCAGGAAGTCCAGGAACTCTCTGGATCGTTTCAGGAAGTCCTTGGGTAGTCTCAGGAATTCCAAGAACTCTTTCGACAAAGGAAGTCTATAGGGTACCCGGAATTGGCATGTGATTTACCCCTCAGATAACCAACCCCATATGATGATGAAAAATATTTTGAATGATATTTTTTTTTTCAAATACACCACCCTAACTCTTTGATTATTGATTTGTAGCATAACGAACGACATTGACATTTCCAGACTCTGTATTCACCATGAGGAATTGACCTTTCTTGATCAGCTGCCATCTTCCAAAAAGATAATGTCAATTATATTATAAGTAACATAAAAAAGTGTGACAGCTTCGCTATAATATCGTCATTTTCTCTGTCTCCAGAATACTACCGTAGGTATTTTTCGAAACTCTTGATACTACGTGAAGAAAACTAATTCAAAGATAGAAACAAATCTGATGAAATTGTTCGATGGTCTTTGTTTACGCCTAAAGCAATCGACAGCCTCCCACTCAATAATAATCCTCTACTCACCACCCTGGATGGGCTGTATTTCAGGGCCTTCTTCGGCCATTTCAGCGGGTTTATCAATCCACTGAAATTATTATTCGGTCGTCACTAATCGCGGGAACCTACGAGGTTCAACAATATTCGAACTTTCCCAATTATTCGCCTTTTTCGTAAGCTCAGCACAGAGACAGGTTTTTCCACTGACTCATGGACAGACAGAGGGTGATCAATACGAATGGAGGACTTGCGCTTGGACTGCTTCACATTGTCAGTGGCGGACAGAAACTGGGTTTCTTTTCTTGTCCTTTATTTCCTTGAACATCTGTGCGACGTAATATTAATTTTCTACGGCTATAACACAATATTGCTCATGTGTTCGATACATCAATGAGGTACTTTGTATGTCATCAATTTTATTTCCGTATCTGATATCACAATGACTCCATTGTGTTATTATCTAAGAAGACACTTATCGCTCATGGAATGTATGACAGCTCTGTCTAATAGATGAGCATTACTTGACAGGATATCAGATGGCTACAAGCCGAAGAAATCGAAAATGCCGCTTATCTATTGTGGTCGTAAAAAAATTATAGTGTATAACTTGCTCGGAATGCTAATGTCCTACTCGAATGATTGCAGCATTCGCCTATGGTTCATGCTGAAAACTTCATTCTCGTAGGAAATCACTATCGTTTCGTGCTCGTTAAACAGTATAGGTACTATTATTCAATGCATCATTGTTGACTTTTTATCTGTTTGAACTTCATTTCTTAACTACTGTTGCCTGCTTATTTGATGTAACTGTACGACCTACAGAAATTTACCTGTTTCCACAATTTTTTGTTCAGTATGCACTGCTGGTTGGAGTAATATTTGCACGATCTATACCGCACTTTAGATTAAAAGAATATATTTTTGGGAGAGATTTACACATTTCTCATTGAAAGTTCACATCAAGTCGATAAATACCATGACATTTATATTTTTTATAGTCCTGTTGGAGTTTTCTGGTTTTTCCTGTACATATTATATTGGGTGTTTCCTTAAATGTAGGTTTTTTGGCTATTTTGCTCGTCCCAGGCAAGATTACGGTTTTGTGTTTGTCCCTGGGGTGTTTTGGGATGTTCTGAAAATGTTGGCATGATGTTATTTTCTTGAGGCGTGATATATGCACTTCCCAAATGTTTTCGGAGGATATTGAAGTTTTGTTTTGTTCTTCGGTGGAATTTCTTTGTTTGACTACTGAGAGGTATCTCTGGAATATTTTGAAAATGGCATCAAGATAATTTTTGAGACGTAATATGCACTTCTCATAGAGGTCTTCATAGGGTGTTGAGAGTATTGCTTTTGTTTCTTTTGTGGCATTTCTTTGTCTGCCTACTGAGGAAGTACCATAATCGTATAAACACGTAATGCAACTTTTTGTTCTGTTTTGGTATATCTATACGTAGATACAGCTAACTAACCCTTATTACTGAGGAAGTATCTCTGGGATGTTTTCGGATGTTTTGAAAATGTTGCCATGTGGTTTTTTTTTTGAGACTCATATAGCATTCGACGTCTTGAGGACTTCCATTTCAGGTCCGATTCAGGTCCGGGCCTTTACAAGACGTACTCAAAACGTCCATTTCGAGACGTAGTGAGTACGTAAGATTCCGATGTATCGTAAAAGGCTGTGACTGTGAAAAAAACTAGGGATACTGTATTTTTGTGACATTGGCTATTCTATAAAAGATCTATATAAGTATGTGTAAACAGAACATCGCAGTCGAGGTTCAATGTATTGGAATCTCGTACTTCCACAGATGTTTTTGAGCTCGCTGATGGGTATATCTCGAGTAGATACCCTCATAGAATGTGATAATTCCTCAATCTCCTTTACTACTTCCAGAATAAAAATGTAGTTTTCTGTTCAGGGCGTCCCTAAGAATTTTCGACATTCCAGATATACCTATCAAACCGAAATCGATTATCAATGTAAGTATATATATATAGTTTTTCGATTTGTTCAATCTACTTCAGATTCTTGTTCTCATCGTATATGAAAAAAAAAAAAAAAAAAGAATTGAGATCAAAAGGTAACCCAAAGATCTCATCCCCCTCGATGATTTCAGTAGTAGTTAGTCAACTTTCTTTGTACAAGGTGTCCCACCTGAATGTGCCACTCCCTTCATCCTTGTTATTCTCAACATATTTTGGCCATTCAAAAATGGGATGATTTTTCACGGATTTTTTTAATCTGTGCTCTCTTTTTCTCCATATCAACAAAATACAAAGTGGCTGAGGAAAAAAATGCCTCTTTTGAATCTAGATTGACTGGCTACATCGAATCATGGAAAAAAATTGATCATACCAATTGACAAAAGAATCTGCGACTATCTATAATTCGTTGGTATGAAGGAAAAGTGAGTTGGCAAAGATTGAAAGAATTTCATAAAAATTAATCCAGAAAAATATGTTGAGAATTACGAAGATAAAGGGAGGTGACCCATCCTTTGACCAATAATTACGTTCCTCAGGAGCATATTCTGTTGGTATATCTTGAAAAAAAAACTACGCACGAAGAAAAATCATTCGAATCACTGATATGCATTCCCTCTGAAGAACCTATTTTGATGTTGGTATTCAAGATGGATAATTCACAGCCCCTGAAGTTAGCAGTTAGTTCATATTGTTTCGCCACTGGCCATACTGTTTCGAAAGAATAGTATTTACACGAAAAATTCGCGTAGTAGTGTTGATAATAATAAAATTGTTTACCTACTCTAATTGAATATAATTTCATCTACATCTAAAAATACTCGATTTGATGGAATATTGTGATCTCGCTCAGCAATTTGAATGCTTATAATCAATAAAGCTAATATGAACAAGTTTTCTGTTGGTACTGACAGTTGGTACTTGTATATTTTATACCTACTAGAATAAACAGCTTTCGATAATAAGTATAATATATTGATACATTCTCATTTTTGCGCAATTAGGAACTGAGATCCCCATGAGGAAGCTCGAAAAACGGGTACCCTGTATAAGTAGAAATGATGATTAGAGTAGATTTTTATGATTCATTGAGGAGATAAGTTCACTATGATATAATATATAATAATTTCAAAGTTACTCATTGTAGATGATAAACTCTATGACTGTTGTCAGGGCTGTAGGTAGGTATTTAAGAGCTTACTAAGATTGTGATCTCTATGCAAAACAAGTAATTATTGAATATTGTTGAATAACTGGTGGATATTTCGAGTTTTCTTTTTCAATTCCACATCCATCCGTTCTGGTATTCTACCATTTTGCCATCAGCATTTTCTTTTTACACCGATGAACATCATTTGAAATGGAAATTTTGCATTTTTTTAAATTTACTCGGCCTTTACTTGATGAAAATTCATGGCAAATGTGAAAACTGCACAAACGATAAGATTTTCATAAAATTCCTAAAGACACATGTTTCGCTGACACAGTAGCTTCCTCAGGTGATATACTGGTACAATGAACTAAACCATCCTTGGCTTGCTCAACTTTTATGTATCCTACTTTCCCAACTTGAAGGATTACTTAGCTGTGGACAGGCTCGACCAACCTTCAATTTCGGAAATTAGGCACAATATCATCATTGAAATATGGTGTATTGGATTGACTTGAAAGGGTTGGTAGCCAGTGCCGGATTTAGGGGGGGCTATGGGACTATCAGCCCTCGGCGGTGAATTTCAAGAGGCGGTAGAGGAAAAGAGGAGAAGCAAGCAGTAATACAGTCGTTGACTGGTTGATATACTGTTTTTGTGAAAATCATAACATGCACTAATCTAGAGCCAGCTGTGTCTTGGACGCTACAATACAAAAGCGGCGGCGGTACAAACTTTTATTTGATGATGTGAAGAAAAACCACATTTTACTCAGTAGAGTAGGGTTAATTTCGTGATTCGTCTAGCTCAATAACAAAATACAAAATCAGAGTTCAGTATTCAATAGGTTGTCGTTGGTATTGTTGGTAATGGTACTAATAATAATAAATAAATATGGAAACTGAAATTTAAGAAAATGTATGAAAAACAAGGTGGTGCATTCTGGAAACGGCAGAAGATCAATAAACGAAAGCAGGTAGACGAAGTTGTCAAGAATTGCCCTAAAATACATTCATTTTTCCTAAATTCAATTGAGACACAATCTCCGGGAACTTCACGATCTCAAGACGGGAATGGTATTTTTTGTATTCCTTTATATTCAATAGGCAAAAAAGAAGAGTCAGAATATCAAAAATAGATGATCAAGATATGAACACGACTAGGCGTTGTTTTAGGGATAATCACAACAAATTCCTAATCCATTGAATATTGGCAATTACTGAGAATTTTTTTACTATCCCTCATGATTAGTAAAGCCAGTGGTGAAAGGTAATTCTCAACTTCAAAAAGGGTGAAATACTACCTTATATAGGAATTCCATGTTGGAGGATATATATTGAATATCCTATCAATTTCAAGTACTAACAGTGACATGTTATTAAATCTGAATTTTGATGATGCCGTTGACGACTTTGAATCAAAAAAATCAAGAAAACTATTTGAGTATTCATCTGAAAAAAATCTTTGTTGTTTGTTTTTATGTTTAACTTGTGAAGTGAATATAATTTGATTCGTTGCTTAATGATTTCATGTTATTGTTACATGCTGTAAAAGAAGCAGTGAAATGATTATTTGAATTTTGAATCTGACAATTGAAAATTGAATATTTGGCGGTGGTGCGGCGGCATCGTAAAAGTTAGCCCCCGGCGTAAGGGAGTATAAATCCGGCACTGTTGGTAGCAAATACATATCATTACCTACTAACAAAATAAGTTCAACAGTGGTGAACTATTGAGGTCTGATTGATCGTTGAGTGAAATGTCAGAATTTTTGAGTTTGTTGATTTCTGAAATGATTGAGTTTCATTCGATCATTTTCTACGTGTAGGAAGCAAGCCAAGGTTGGTTTAGTTCATTGTACAAGTATATCACCTAACGAAGCTACTGTGTTAGCCATGTTGTGTGTTTGAGAATTTCGAGAAAATCTTATCGTTTGTAAGGTTTTTACATTCAGAAATTTCGCACGACGCAGTACGATAGTATAGATACTAGTTTTTATGTGCCGTGTTTCCTTGAAGATAGAAATAAAAGACTGACCTAATTATAAAATTTATTGGCAATTAAATAACGCTTAATCTCAAACACTGTCCAATAAACTATGGACCATCAAGGGAGCCCGCTTGTAATCTTTGCGTTGATTTTCAAGGCCCTCTGGATTCGGCATGGTCCCGTCAGACTTTTTCTCCAACTGTTTTGGCCACTCGCCCAACGACGTTTCGTCACTTTCGCTCTCTTCAGATGAGTGGTCGCTGGAATTGAATGCGGAAATAACGACGTTGTTCCCCTAAATAAGGAAATCAGAAAGTTAATCGATAATTAGAATTTTGAAAGAGTTTTCTTCTACGGCTAAAACACAAAATTCTCTCGTTTTACTGCCTTCGATGAATCGAAGATGTACTTTGTATACAGAGAAGTGCACAAAAAAAATTGAATGTCATCAATTTAATTGCCGTATCTGATATTACAATGAGTACATGTCATTATTCCACAAAATTTCATCTTCATGAATGTGATATTTCGATGGCTACAACCCAATAAAATTAAAAATACTGCTATCGTAGTCTCAGAGAAAATGTCGTTTATACCTCGCACAGAATGCTAATATACTATTGGATAATATTGTGTTTCTTATAGTCTACAGGGTGGCTCTATGAAAACAAAACAGAGGCTCTGTACAGGTCGCCAAAACCGGATGATGAAAAAAAATCTTGAACAAGTCAACATTTTCGAGGGAGACGTCGTTCTGAAATGTTTTCAACTCTGTTTTCAAATGGAACACCCTGTATTTGATTGCATTTTCTGATTGTCTTCAAAAAGCTGATTTCATTAATGCATCACACTTGGGATCTAGCGGCAATGATCACAGAGCTATAGGGTGTTCAAAACCGATATTTCTCAACTTTCGCATTTTTTTGTTTCGAAAATATTCATTGTTGGTCAAAACAGCTTTCCTATTCCTATCTTAACTTTCGATCTACTGTCTACTGACATTTGATTGGAACATATACAGGGTGATCAGAATTCTGAATTTTGACCCACCCTGTATTTGTTTCAATTAAATGTCAGTAGATAGTTAATCGAAATTCTAGATGGCCCCATGTGAGCCGTTTTGACCAATGTTCGCTAGATTCGACAAAAAAAAATCCCAAAGTTGAAAAATCTCATTTTTGTACACCCTCAATGAATTGTCCTATTACACATTTATTGATATAATATCCATATTTTCATTCTGTAGAAACGAGGAGAGAAAATCTAAGATGATCAAGTGAAATGATTGAATCAAAAGTGTCCTCAAATTTCCACAATGCAAGATTATCACCCAAATAATACAAAAAATCAAACACATAACATAATTTTCCATAGATTTGCTGCTATTATTATATTTGCTGCAATATCAGGACACTGAAACTCTTTTTCAGCAATATACTTTCTGTTTTATTTTTTTTTCATTTTTCTTCTCGGATGTATGATAAATTGATATTCATCTCCAACATGCTTAGCATAAAGAATTGTTTTGCATGGGTGTATCCATACCACTACTCACATAAAATGAATCATCATCGTATACTTTAGCTCTACTTCTGAGCTCAGTTTTCAGGCGCCACTCTTGTAAATATATGCCAGGATTTGAAAGAACCTCTCCTATTCGTATCCTTCGTATCAACTGCCACCTGAAAAAAATTCAATACTTCAAACTCTACCTATAGGAAATGATGAAAACATGAGGGTCATTGTAGTAAAGCATGCAAGACGTCTTAGTGAATATTCACCTTGTTAGTAGTTGAAACAGCCTGGATTTTTGCCCAAACTTCCTCAGAAGTTTGCAAGCACCATTCACAGCTTCTTGGTGTTGAGGTGAAGATTTCAATGACCTCCAGTAGTATACAAGGGCTTGTAGATAATCACCTAGAACAGTTGGATATTTTTGGAAAGGAACCTTCTGTATTGATAGATGTATGTTTAATGCTGATGCTTATGTGAAAGTGATTGAAACGAAGAAGTTCCAGATATATTTGCGTTTGAGTACTTGGCATCACTCTGAAATGATTCATAATAAAAAAAGAGACCGAATAAGGTAGGTACTCATGAATTTTGTACCTGTTCTTTCGGACCAGTATGCTAGCTGAGTACCAAAGAAGGGGTCTTCTGGATTGATTTGCAAAGCATGTTGAAGCAGCTGGTATAGTTTTGGATCGTCTGGTCCCAATAATTTTGTTAGCTCTACATATGCAGCAGTGAACTTCGGTTCTAGCATCACGCATTTACTCAGCATATTCTCCGAATCGGATGTTCTGTTGTATTTTCTGTTGACAGAAATCAGAAGATCAGATAATTTGATCCTTCCATTTTTTGGGAAAATATTTAATGACAAAAATATACCTATGTATGCATTAGACAGTATACATTGTGTCCCAAATTCGACACTGTCCATTGGGATCTAGGTGAATATGACAGAAAGAGAGTCGGTTGAATCATAAAATATTCAGCAAAATCAATCTTGATTCAGATTCCGTTGAGAAATCTATACTAGCTTCAGTCATTTTTGAGTTATTCAGGAAGAAGTAAAATTTTGTATTTTTGTTCTCGAATATTTCGAAAATTATTGATTGTATGAAAAAACGAACATTCTAATAGTACCCTCTAGTGATTTCACAAATGATTTTGCCAGTTTTTGTTAAAAATATCAAATTTCTGAGATTTTACCTCCAACTCCAACTCCAATCCTGGCAGCACCTCGATGCCTTAGAAGTGGTTCGAATTCCACTATAAGCTGTAGGTCCCGCTCTTCCTAACCTCGCACAAGTTTCGACTTCTGGGGAGTTGGTTCCCAACAAATTACAAAAAAAAAATATTTTTTTTTCTTTTGTTTTCTTTCCTTTTTTTTGCAAAAATCGGCGAAACTATTCAAATGGTCACTAGAACGTACCATCTTAATGTTGGAGTCATCTTTTCATATCAATAGTTTTCGAGATACGAGGAAAACCAAAAATAAGATTCCAGTTTTCCATGAATAGCTATGAAATGATTGAATTTGCTGAATCTTCCGTAATATAACCGACTCTCTAACTCTCACAGTTACTGATATCCCAATTGTGAGGATAGAATTTGGGATACACGATATACCTATTGTTTGATATTCACAAACGGAGTATGTGATTCAAATAAGGTGATGAGTAGTAGTATACATAACTCAAAACGTGTCCAGAAATTGAATTATTATTAAAATAACAATATAAAATGTTGGATCTGGAAGACCATAAGGAAATCATGGGATCTGGAACAGTAGTATATTTCACTAAATAGTTTGAGGTTTCTAGAATTCAGTCACCAAAATATTCTTCTTTTTGGAAGTAAACCTACCTGTACAGTCGACCTAGATTATAGTGAGCATTCACGTGATCTGATGAATGACGTATGGCTGCAAGAAAATGATTTTCCGCTTCTGTCATGTCGCTCAGCAATGTTCCCAAGTTGTTGTGAGCACTTGCATAGGATGGCCATAACCTTAAATTCAAATAGCAAGTGATCGGTCGAGGATTATCATCAAGATTCGTGTGTTTATTGTCGTAGTTGTTTTGTCTCTTCCTTTTCATTGATGCGGATATTATTCAGAAGTTGAATCCCTACCACCCTAGACAGCACCAGATATTCCTTGAATATCCACAGAATATTCTTTTTGGATATTGGGAATATTCATGAACATGCCAGGGATATACATATCTTCTATGGAATATTTCCTGAATGTGCTGGTGGAAAAAAAAGTATATATTCTCAGAATAATACACAAGGAATATTCCCTATATATTCAGAATTCACCTATGATATTCGGAATATTCCAGGGATGATACAGGAATATAAATGAATGAATATTCCGAAAATATATCAAAAAACATATTCATTGAGCAATAATAGGGCAGTAGTCTAGTTGAATGATATTGTACTGAACAATTTCTTGGGGGGGCTTTTGTTTAGAATCAGATCAGAGACACTTACAGCTCCAAAATCCAGATTCATATAACAGAGATCTGCCCATATGAACTCTCAACATCTACAGGGTGGTCCGAATTGGATACCTTTAGAGGGAAAGTGCTATTCTCGCACCAGATGAAAGAAAACTGATGTCAGTACCTGAGGGTCGATTCTCATGAAAAACTCAATGGTGAAATAAATATCCATATCAGTCTCCGTTCCAGAGTTACAAGGTCTTTTTTGAAAATGGGTATTTTTGATAAATAACTGGAAAGCATTGAGTTTGTGATGAGAATTGTTCGCGAGGCACTGAAAACGGCTTTCCTATATTTTGTGCAAGAATATAACTTGTTTTTCTTGAAGGAAACGTTTTATTCTGCAATTAGGTATACGGTGACTGATTTCGGTGCCTGAGGATCAATTTTCATGACAAACACAAAGATTTGAAAAAGTTTTCATAAAAACGAAGAATTTTCAGCAGGAAAAAAGAGTTTTGGCCAAAAAATTAAAATTTCTGAAAAACCCCTGGTAACTCTGAAATAAAGATATCGATATGCGGTTTGCACCATTGATTATGTCATGTGAATTGATCTACAGGCATCGACATCAGTATTTCTCTATCTTGCACAAGAATTGGACTTTCCCTTTGAGAGTGCCTAACTTGGCCCACCCTGTACAATGATCTAATTGAGTAATTTGATCACTATTAAAATTGTGGAAACGACTTTGTGTTCTTGATCTCTGATAACTCACCACTCTACCTTGAGATATGATGGACTTCTATTACAGATTATAAATTAAATGTCTGATACTTACATCTATGAAATATTGATTGAGTTTTTTATATCCATTTATGCCATTTCATTGAAAGACATGGGAATATCTATGCAATATTCTATGAATCTATAAAACAGAATATGCAGTTGGGAATATTCCTGGAATATCTATACCTAAATATACCCTGAACAATCCAACTGGTATAGTCTGGGAATATTCACCCGGGAATATTCATCCTAGAATCATCCTTGTATTTTATTTTGGAATATAATGTTCCAGAGGCACACTCTTTCAGCATATTCAGAAAATATTCTAGGAGCATCCAGTGCTGTTCATTTCATATAAATATAATGAATTGCTTCCAAGTTAAGCGAAAAAGAGTCCAAATCTCTCAATTTTGTGGTTTCATTAAAGTTATTATCTAAGTAGCCATGAATCCAAAATAATGAGAAATGCAAGATGCTCGTGTAAGACGTTACCATGAAAACAAAGCTTCGAACCATACAAATCTTGAGATATACAGTGTCATTCATAAAGTCTGCATCATATGGGAAAAACTTTTATTAATGACTTATTTTGAAATCCGAGTTGGACATTAAGTTTTGCTTTAAAAAAGATGGAAAATGGCCTACTCAATCGGGGTCACGTAACTTTCCCTACATGTCAAAAGTGACATTTTTCAAATTAATCGCTGAAAGTAGGCTTATTTGTTCGAATTTCGAAAAAGTTTACTTGAAGAAGTTGTTTCTATTTGAATTCTACATTTGTGACTCGAATTTTATGTTTTTATTACATTTTTTAGTTTTCGATATTTTTTGAAAATTTTCGAAATATCCCAGCAAACATTGAACCAGCGGGAGAAGTCCGGCCTAGTGCAGGTTAGTCTGGGAAAGTGACGATGCCGGGGTATAGGTAATGGGCCGATGATTTTTCCATGCCAAGTAACCATCAGTTAAAAATACGATGATGGCCTTGTGATGGTAAGATGTCTGGAACTAATTGAATACTAACGAGATCTGGCCCTTTGCTGGCCAATTTCATATTCACTACCCGTCCCCCTGGCGGATGTTTTGGGAACGTCTACATCAACAATCAGCTGATCAATATCATATGTGACTAAGATGGCTGACTCTCGTGAGTAGTGATCGCGTACTAGTTTGTTTATGTCGAATCAATGTGGTCCTCTCTTTCCGTGGTGGTTATTTATGATGGCAGGAGTATTCTCAATTGATAATGATGGAAGACAGTTTCTTCAATTATGATAATATTGAGTAAGTATCAATGTACCTACATAGTGTTTTGAATGTCATTATTTGATGCATGTGTTTGGTATCTCGTAACCTCATATACCTAATGATTATGATAATTGGAGTTAACTATACTTCTCTAAAACTTCTAAAAGCAACCATCATTTTTAACTCATTTGTTATGCTATCAAAAGCAATCTCAGGTTATGTGAACCTATCTCTAAATTGAATAACTGAATAACAATAAGATTTCAGCTACAGACTTACCTGTGCCAACACCATAATGAGAATTGAAAAGCTCCATGTTATCACGTCATTTGTCTATATTATCAAGTTATAAACTCATGCAACTCATACGCCTCTAATATAAAACAAATGATGCATTTTATATTTCAGAAGTACCTCACAACGAAGAATTAACTTCGAAGGAATGCTACCCAATAAGATGTAGATACCACGATACCACACACCAACCAGTAAGCAGTCACTCCGAGAAGTTTCATCGTCATTTATTGAATTTGTTTTCTTGCAATGTGGTATGTGTCTGATTTATGATGAGAGGGTTATGTTGTGAAATAAAGAGGTACTAGAACTTTCAGATCCATTGGACCCCTAAAACCCCTACCCCTCCCCTACCTCGATTGTATGTAACCAATGTCGTTAATTGGCCATTACAGTCCCATCATTTATGTATATGCTGGGCTTGCTATGGGAAACTCAATGTATCGATTATGTTGTACTGGCCTTTTTGCCGGGGAACTGAATATGATTGCTGGGTACCCAGCACTGGGACCAGATGCCGGCCGCAGTGTACTGATATATAGAGTCCCGCATATGGGACCATTCACTGGGCCGCTGATGTCAGGTATGGGAAAAATATACTAGGCCATTGATGCCCCATATGAAGATGTTTGCTGGGATGTGATATTAAAAAAATTGAAAATTCGATAAAACTAGTCCATACGAGTAGTTTCATCATACCACTTACTTTCAATTACTAATTATCACTAATTATCGACAAAAATATGATTTTCTTCAGAAAATGATAATCTCCGCTTCAAAATTCTGTTATGTTTGATGCAAACATAACATCAAAATTCTGTCATGTTGAGTCAAGCATTTAGGAACGAAATTCATTTAAATTTATTTTTCAGTACTGAAAAGATCAGTTTGAATGAATTTCGTTTTCAAATGCTTGACGATATATCAACTTTGCATCAAACATAACAGAATTTGTGAGCGGGTATTATCATTTTCTGAAGAAAATCATATTTTTGTCCATAATCAGTGATAATAAGTAATTGATAGTGAGTAGCATGAAAAAGCTACTGGTATGAAGTAGTTTCGTGGAATTAACAATTCTTCAAATATTACAGAAATTTCGAGAAATTGAAAAAAAAAAATCAAAATCTAAAAGTTGCAATAAAAAGATCAAATTCGAGAAAAATGTGTAAAATTGGAATAGAAACAACTTTTTCAATTGAACTCTTTCGATATTCGAACAAATAAGCCTACTTCCAGCGATTAATTTGAAAAAATGTCACTTTTGACATGTAGCGAAAGTCACGTGACCCCGATTAACGTCCACCTGGAATTTTCCAAAATAGGTCATTAATAAAAGTTTTTCCCATATGATGCCGACTCTATGAATGACACTGTATGTGATGAACTACACGAATAAATGTTCTGGAATAGTACGAAATTCGAAAGTAAAAGCATTGCAAATTTATTCAACGCACTTACTATGAAAATAACTTACCTCAGGGCCGTGTGGTAATGGCTTTTCGCTAATTCGGTTCTACTCGAATCCCTGAGAAAATTGGCGTAATTGTAATGCATCTTGGCGTTGTGAGGTAGCATCATTAAGCCTGCTCTACAATAAAAAGGGAAATTCGATTGGGTATTTATTGCGAATGCCCTATGCCGAAGGAATACCAATGAGGAAGGGACAGAGCTGGCTCTCCGATTTTCTCCTGATCAACTTCGCAGTCATGATCGAAGAATAGTACAAAGTGAACAAGTAAAAACGGCTGTCATCAATCATTCTTCCAATAACTTTGATCAATGATATGGTCGGGATTGGAGCAGTGGAAGAGCGTCCGTCTCACGACCGCAAGGTCGTGGGTTCGATTCCCAGCACGGGCAAGGAACTTTTTTCAATATTTTATTTACGAATTAAATATTGTAAAGTTTCGGAGCATCGGCTGGGGATAGTCCTGCACGATTCGCTGTTGCGTTCCAATTAACAGTGCTGCTCCTAAAGTGGCGCATGGACTTAGTAACAAAGCCTACACAGAACACGCAGAAAGATATGATGATGTGGTTGTGAGCATCAGAGAAGAAGTAGGACGGTGTATGTGGGTGTGGAAAACTAGCAGCTGAGCGTGAGAGCGGGCCAGCTTCTTAAGTAGACCTCGGTCTCGGGGGTTAACGAGGATAGTTAGCAGGCCTGCCACTGCGCATATGGTAGTGATTACATTACTAGCGCCTACAACACACAGCTGAAAAACTCTGAAAAGAGAGCTGATGGGCGGTGCCTGAAGAGGATGTTAGCCAGCTCTCTTGAGCGAACCACATCAGTCATTGAAAACACTTGGGGTTTGCAAAAAGGTCCCATTGGGGACTAGTTGCTGACGTGGAAACGTCCCCCACCAGTACCAGTAGTACCAGTAGTTGATCAATAATATCTTCCGTTAGCGAAAAGCTATCATGTTGCGGTTTTCGTTGGTCTGTTGAGATCAAGTTTCTCTATTTCATTCTGTGCGCACAATTTCATTAAATTTTCTCTCAAATCACGATATGCATTGATACTCTAGATCACGTCCTCTAGCGGCAACGGTAATACGAATATGAAACCAATTCAAATCACAGTTGATAGAATAGGAAGAGGCATTTCCAACAAGTTCTAGATTCTTGCATTCTGTTGAAGATAACCAGCAGAGTTACAGACTCTTAGGAAAATTATAATTTAACGTTCCCACACCACTTTATTTTTCGAGATGGAACAAAAGTGTGAAACCAAAAAAAACAAAGAATTCATCAAGGATCAAACTGCATATTTTCAGTACACCTAGTTTCAACGAAATACGGAGAAAATTCCATTCATAGCCGTAACGCTACCTAGCGGTTATTTTAGCTACCTTTAAAAACTTTCCAGCTATTTTTTAGGGTCACTTTCCTCGAGATATTATTTTTCGAAGTGTATCATTATTCGTTGCTGAGATATGACCCACAGCCGTTCGTAGTTGTTCACCTTGTAATTGCTTCATTATGATCAAATGTGACACTTTTGCTAACATGCTATTTTTGTTCTGCAAACAAGATGATTGATATAATTATCTAATCAATCTCCACTGATATTATAACTGTGAATGTAAGTTTGTTTGTTGGGCTTTCACGCCAAAAGTACTCAACCGATTATCATGGGATTTGGTATACATATTCTAAGATGTACTAGAAAGAACATAGAATACTTCCTATTGAAAAAGAAGAGGAAAGTTCTAACGACGGTGAGAACAATTTATTTTGATAGACATGATTGTTGGACACAAAATATCCAACAGTCAGACATGAAACTCTATACGCCGGTACCTTAGATATTCATTATTTGAAGATGTCTTCTGGGACAAATGAAAATGACAAATATCTAACCAAACATCAGGTGGAAACTACGAAAGCGCAAATTTATTACTGCTTGGGAGATACCCTTATCGGATTTTCTGTTATTCCGTGACTTGACCACGAATGACATTGACGTTTCAGTCTTCTGCGCAACTGAAATGCACGATTCAATACAACCTGAATTGGTCTATCTACAGACAGGGCGCAATGAATAACTCATTACTGTAGTGTACATTTACACTTTTGTTGTACTGAGTTATTTCAATAAAGCATGTTTTCAGTTTCTGAAACTTCATTGTATGTATGTAGAAATTTTTGAATACCGATTCTCATTGATCAGGTTTCATTGGAATTCCATTTCTGTTCAAGGACTTCAAGGAGAGTGAAGCCGTGGGTAGAAGTTAGTAGAAAATAAGTGAAGTAACAACTATTTTCACTCAATTGAGCATATCAGTGTCAAAGCAGCTTTCATATCAGCTGTCATCTGACACACTTTTAGTGCCTTGAAGGTAAACTTCAACTTTAGCTTCTTGACAGTAAAAGTGTTGTCTAGCAACATACTTTCTAATCATTTAATTGTGCCATTAAGATAAACGCCAACTCCAAGAGTTCATTTTGGATCAAAACAGACGACTTTTGGGTCGATTGCAGTGAAACATATCAAAATACTATTACTGGTTCTACAGGAAACTGCGGAAAGTCTATTTTTTGCGTTTGTTGCCAGAATTAAGTTTTTTTTCGAAAAAAAAAAAACTGAAAAAGTATGTGTTGCTGACCATGACTTCGTCCTTTTTCTGAAATTTGAGTGAGTACTATATTCATTTCAGATAACTTTCGGGTTCCAATCATGTCTATCACTTCAAAATTGGTTTGACATTCATGGTTTTCCATCATTATTGAATACAGATTCAGGTGAGATTGCTTCAAGACTCCTATCGCAGTTTACTTACTTAAAGATCGTCAATAATATTTTTCCAAATAATTATTAACAATGCAAGATTATTCCAAATATTTTTCAGAAATTCATTCACTTTGTGAGGTGTTTTTCACTGTTCTATTTGTAACCTCAAATGACTTGAGCTGGAGCCTGCTCTGGTAGATAAACGAATTTTCGTTTAATTCGAAATTCCTGATGGAAAGGTCGAATACTCATCAGATCCGCTGGTTATATAGCCGATTTCGTCGAAACGCTGAAACATTCATAGGCATCTACAATATTCCTTTGTTTCTTTTACCATTTTTACGAAACTTTTGAACTTCGGCTGGAATCATGAAGATACTTGGGTAATGTTTTCTTTCTCAGAAAACTTTTAGGAAGGTAATAATAATACTAATTTACTATTATTATCTATGACTTGGTGAAAAGAGCATTCACTTTTAGTTGATAATTTCATAGTAGATATTTATAGTGGTGTCAAAAATTTTTATGTTTTTTATGGATGCATATTATGTATTCAATGAACCTATTATTTTTTTTGGTCTCTAGTTAGCACCACTTCAACCAAATTTCGAATTGGAGGTATACTAAAAAGTCAAATTGTATCTGGATTTGGAGGATTCTTAGAAAAATTGACTCTTTGTAAAATCGAATGTCTAAGCTAATACTTATCAAACAGCCTCATATATATGTTATAACTTCTGAGCATTTCATGGAAACTAATGTTATAATAATGATAATAATAATAATGATGTGTGTTTATTCTTCATTAACAACATTCATAAACAAACGATACATAAAGGAGGCGGTATTCAACAGAGTTGCTCTTCCATACAACATGTTATATGACAGTTTTTCACAATTCAAAATGGAATATAGTTTCCATCATCATGAAATATTTCAACAAAAAAAGTTTCTCCTCCTTCACCAAAATTTTACGGAATGTATCTTGTGCGAAGTAATTTATCCAAATTTTTCTCGTAGCAGAGCGGTTTCGACTATACAGTCATCCTCAGTGCGTACTTAGTTACCAAAATTCCTGTTTTTGTCATATCTCCGGAAATACTCGGAATTTGGAAATTTTCTGAATGGCATATTTTTAGTCACATTTATGCGCAGCTTTGCTTCCATTCAACCATATTCGTATTTCCTACAGCTTCCGAGATCCCAATGATGGTCCTCGAATTTCAATTACCCGGTAATTACAATTACTCGAAACCATCATTCAATAGAAGACTAGCTTCCACTTGAGGCTTTACTCGCGTTGAAAAATCACTACATACAATGAGGATTCAGAAACTCAAAACTTGCTTCATTTGAATAATTTACTACAGCAGAATTTGAAATTTTGATCACTACAACATACTTCCACTTCCACATGGATTATTTGTTGCGCCCTGTCTGTAGGTAGAATGATTTCGTGCATTTTGGTCGTTGCACAGAAGACTAAAACGTAAATGTCATGCGTGATCGAGTCACTGAAATCATCTAGTAATGAATTTGCACCTCCGAAGTGCCTACCTGATGCCAGGTTATATTTTTGTCATTTTCATTTCATTATCTAGATGATCCAAGACTCACGAGTGTCGAAAGACGTATTCTACTAATTAATATCTAAGGAACCAACGTATATAGTTTCATGTATGATGTGTCATGGCTGCCAAAATTCATTTTTTCATCTACCGTTGAAGGAATTTTTCTCATTACGAAGTATCCGATGTTCTTTCTGATATGGCTTGAAATATATGTACACAAAATTTCATGATAATCGATTAAGTAGTTTTGACATGAAGGTCCGACGAACAAACTGAAATTCTTAGTTATAATAATTAAGTATCAGTAGGGATGTTGTTACATGTAAGTTTCTCAAGTATTTAAAATCATCTTATATCTTTTACAAAATAAATAAATTGTTTCTACTGTGTCGAAGAGAATGAATCTAAAAGTCTGAGAATCAAATAATAAACCAGGATCTGAGGCCACACGTAGAAATCGGAGGTTTATCTGAATCTCTAGTTAAAATAAACAATTGATATACCTTAGTAATGATTCTCTTGATCGCCAATCTCTATTCCTGGCTATCGTCCTGAGACATCCTGTAACGAGCAACAGGATCGTTAAACTCACAACTGTCTGTCTGTGTGTCACTTGTTTATCCCACAACAGCTGGATACCATAAGCCACAAGCAGGATATATCCCAGACTGAAATTCAAACAAAGTTTCGATAAATTAAATTCGAATTCAGACTTCCAATCGTTAATTTATCATTGTGATTTCGATTATTCATCCCTATTCGGAGATATACCGGCTCACCCTCGATAACTCATAATAAAATTATCTCACAAAAAAATAACATCGTTTAATGCAAAGAAAATAAAACATATTCCAACCTTCCACTTCCCAGAGCAACCCTCCCTATATGATTTGAATGGAGAATGAGGGTCTTGTTATACATTATTCCAGAGCTTATTTGATCCTGATACTAGCAGTGTAATATTTTTTGAGTTCCAACAAGGCGTTTTCAAGATATTCGAGTTCAAATGTTAAGTTTTTCAATTGTTAGTGGATGTAAGAGATTGACTATCGAATAGGTCTTGAAAAAATGTTAAAAATGACCTCGATTGACCTTCAGACAGTGATTGAACATGTTTCTCTAGTTTTTGTCTGGCATTCAATCCTTATTCTTCTTTTCGAACCGTCCAGATCAGTGGGTTCTGTTGATGAAGGGTTTTAAATGACACCAAAGAAAGAATCGATGGGTGCCAAGTCCGGCAAGCGTACTGGCCATTCTATTGGTCCCCTATCCATTATTCGAGATATTTTTGGATAGTCATTCTCCCAACTGTAATACGAAATGAAAAGGCGCACTATCTTATTGAATCATTATCATCATCATCATCATCACCGATGTCCATGAGAAAATGGCTATCCCGAAATTGGAAAGGAGAATTAGGATTGAATGCCATAAAGTATACAATTGAAATTCCAAATCATACTTTATCATATTCGTGAAGATTCTCAGTTTGTGTGCCGCGCTCTGAGCTGTGAGGTATTGAGTTCTCGATCTGTTATTCTTCTGAAGGAGATAATGAAATACATAAGTCTCCCAGAACAGTACATAATGGGCTTATTTCACAAAAAAAATTCATTTCATAATTCGATAGAACTCACCCAAACTAGCTCACCACCGCAAACCGTTTCTTGCTGTGAGCTCCCTACGTTTTATAAAAAATTATTGAATTCCCCGATTTTTCGGACCTCTGAAAACGAGGCGATGATGTGACGTCGAAACTCTAATACTGAAACAAGACTATTCCAGACAGAGATGAATGATACATGATTTCTGACAGAGTGAATTAGCGCGAGATCACAGTTGAAAGAATTAATATTTCAGTTGCCTCAGTCTCCGTCGGGCGTTTGGTATTTTCCTTTAACTATGGCGAGATGAGGTTTCTACGTCATGAGAGGGTCCGTTTTCAGGAGGTACTATTATTTAGTCCAAAAATAAAACATTCCAGTTAGTTTTTCGATCGAATTATGTCGTCAATCATTATTTATGTATAAAAGGATAATTATTAACATGGTTTGAGTTAAAAGTTCTACTAAGGTGTACACGCCCATTGTTGACATCATATACAGATTTTTATATTCCACCTCCGATGATACTCGAAGTGAGAGAAAGTGAAGTTTGACGAGTATGAAAGTTGATTTCAATTCCACTTTTTCATCTACATCACTGAAGAAAAAAGAGTATAAGAGTGCATCTGATGGACCGTTTTTCTAGGCCCATGATCCTGATAAACCTGTTATCTAGTGTCTCAATATCTGTCGTCAGCCTTACCTCTTTGTGCTTTCTTTATTCATCATATCCATCCAACAAATTCTTCAAATGCACGAAAGGCTATCATTTCTCAAAGAATATTCATGTTATTTTTCATAGTACCTAGCTAATGACAGGTGAATAAATCTCAAATGACAAGTCAATGAGTCACTGATGACGAGTAAATAAGTCACACATGACATGTGATCAGGTCACTAATTACAAGTGAATGAGTCACTAATAACAAGTGAATAAGTCACTAATGATAAGTGAATAAGTCACTGATGACAAGTGCTGTGTTCACTAACGGTAATCAATCTGAAATTCAATGAAACAGGTAGATATTAATAGGGGTACATTTCCAGGAACACAAATATGCATGTGGCTTTTGACTTGTTTCCTTGTCCCAAATAGTATACAAGTTCTTACTTGCCACTATTAAATATTCACCTAGGGCTAGTGATTTCATTCCGTGCAGGTGATAACAGAAGAAACAAACTCTACCACGGTCTTCATAGCAATGAAGGTGATTTTGAACATTCTATTGAATACCTGTTTGTTAATACATTTCGTACATTCATTGAAAAACAATTAGAAAACCTAATATTCGAACTCGAGTATTCGGAGAACGGTGGTTGCAATTCAATGAATTCTGCACTGCTAGTATCAGAATTGATTTACTTTTGCAATTTCCTATACAAATTATAGTGGGTGTTGTTTTATTATTTTCTTTGAATCAAACAGTGTCCCGTTTCCAGACACAAATCGAGGTGTTTCGTTGTGTTTGTGTAAAATCATTTTCTTGAGAGTTATCGAGGGTGGAAAATAATAATAAGTGGACCACCCGGTATGAAGGAAACATGTAGAAAGTGTATCGTGATGTTTTTTTTAGAAGATACGTTGGCTCGAATAGAAGTTTTGCATTTTTGAAAACGTGTTCTAGTTCGAAAGTTTGAAAATTCTTCACGTCTCTATATTAAATTCTCAACAGGATCATTAAATTCATGAGGTTTTTGTCTAGTTTATATTCTGGATTCCAGTTAACCACCAAGTCTTAATTAAAATTATCCAGAGTCTTGAACACGATGGATGGAAAGTAGTGGAGCGATTCGATTCGAGGAAACTAATTAATGATAATAATGGTTCCGTGGAGATCTGATTGTATCATACCCTCCGATTTCTATAGTTCATAGTGCATAAGTGATAATAGTAGTGACAGAAGTTAATTGATGAATATGCTGGAGCTAATGACTATGAAACTATCAAGGAATCTCCTGGTGTGCAGGATATCATACGAGTTATTTCTGTCCCTCCATATCTGGATAATTTATTCGCCATATTCACTAATACTGTTTCTGGATCCTGAATATTCCAGACACAATTATATCTTCTATGCAATTTATCTGAACTGATACTGATTGTTCACTTGACGAAAAAATGTTTCCAATAATTGAAAAACTTTTAACGAGTTATGAAACTCTCGTTCGTCAGTATACAGTAATCGAAAATACAGAAGCGTTTGAAATACCCTGTCAGTGAATGATATATACATTATGAATATTCAGAAAATAAATTGGGGAAACAAGTATAATTTGGAAACAAATTCCACCGCACTAAATTACCCACTACTTAACCAATATTTTTCAGGCGAATACAGCAATCATAAAAATGATAGCTTGAGCTACAATTGAAATTGAAATCAACCCAGCAGCATCAAAATTCATATTATATTCATGACAATATCGATACCGTGCGTTTCACCTGAATGGAAAATCACTTACCTCGGAATATAAAGGACCCTTTCAGCTACCACAAATCCTACAGTAACAAACAAATTGGTGGCAGGTAGAAAAGGGAAAACCAGCAGACACAATCCCAATACCACAGGTGTATGTTTTTGGTCCTGAAAAATTAATTCACAATAAGTCAATACTGCATTTTGTCATTGTCCCACTTCGAATCTGGCACTGCTATACAATGAATGATAAAATATTCAATACCTCAGGAAAATCAGCTAATTTCCTTACCTCTAATTCCGATATACTCTTGACAGCTAATAATATGAGAACAAGAAAGCAGAAAAGGGTGAGAAAATTCCTGGAATCATTCACAGAGCTGACTACTGGGATAGATCCCATTTGCCAATCGTGGGACAAAGTCGAAGGGCATATAAGCAACCACCAGTTGAATGCTGCCAAGTAGCAAAACGTCAGGAATCTGTAACAATAACAATAACAATAACAGTATAGTCACCGTGACATCGAATCAGAAGAAAGCAGCATTAAAGAACTGATGATACTTTCAATATTTCGAGAAATCACTCTTCTAGCAAATATTGCGAAAGAAAAGGGTCTATAAATTATGAATAGATTGACGACATCATCATAGACTGGTCAACATTGATAACGTCGTGGTCCAAAATATAGCTCGATTTCAAAGTGAAATAACTCACGAATTTCCTCACCAATTTGAAATCAATTTTCACCGATGATTAGCCTAATCTCTTGACAGTTCGTTGTGGCAATATGAAACTTCTGTGATTTCAGATAACATTGCTACAGGGTGATAATTGAATGGGTGTAAAATTGCATCGTGGTCGTTACCATACCGTTTGAACAGATGATTTTTTAGATTTTTTTCTCACCTGTATTCTCTTGATTGATGCTTTCTCTCGAAACGATTTCGGAATTTTCAAATTCAGAGCTTTGATAATCGTGTTATGAATATTCATTGAAAATGATGCATTTTTTCGACGAATAATTGAATGAAATCAGAAGCTGCAATCGTTGTATGTATAGTCGTCGGATATGTAATTGTGTTCGAACACAGAAAATTCTGAAGAAGTCTATACAAAGTGATACAAGAAATACTGAACGATGAAATGGAGAATAACGTAGTCTTCAGTAGATGAAACATAATTTTCTCTGTTTTACTAGTGAAATAATGAAGTGTTGACTTCGTCATGAGGATGTCTGGTGTCTGACCTCGAAATGGTTTTGTAATTTCTCGGATCGAATGTCATTTAATGAAGGAATACGCATTTTTAATCGAAATGAATCATTTTTGTTGTAGTTCCAGAACTATGAAATTTATAATTATTCTTGACGATGGATATACAAGGTTCGATAATAAATATACCCAGATTATCCCGGGATGAAGAAGAATATGTTTAAACGTGTTGAAAATCACTATGTTCTGAAAAAAAAATATATAGTGTGGGTCATTGTCGAAAATTGTTAAATGTATCAATACAGTAACTTTGTATGAGATTTATAAGTGTAAATATGAAAGAGACTGCCGAAATGCTATGGATTCGATGAAATGTTTCCATACTAATGAAGATAAATACAGTGAGTCATCATGTGGCCTATACCAGGAATAATGAAAGAGACTCCACATATTGGAATGAAAGTCAATCCAATATGGAATTAGGATTCATCACGTTTAAACATATTCTATTTCATCCCGGAACAATCTGGACATATTTTTTATCGCACCTTGTATATCCATCGTCAAGAATGAATATAAATTCCATACTTCTGGAACCACGATCGTAGGTTTTTGAATTTTATAATTCATCTAAACGAAAATGCATCATATTGATTAAAAATGCGTAACTTCATTATATGTACTTCTTTCCGAGAAATTACGAAGTAACACCCCATTATTTCACTATAGTGACACAGACAAAATTATGTTTCATCTTCTGAAGACTACGTTATTCTTCATTCCATCATTCATTATTTCATGTATCACTTTGTATAGACTATACTTCAGAATTCGAACACGATCACATATCCGACGACTATAGACATACAAGGTTGATTCTTCGAAAAAGAATTCCAACTTCCAATTTTATTCAATTAATCGTCGAAAAAATGCATCATTCTGAATGAATATTCATGACACGATTATATCAAAGCTCTGAATTTGAAAATTCCGAAAATGTTTCGAGATAAATTATCTGTTGAAACGGTAAGCTGAAGACCACGATGCAATTTTACACCCATTCAATTATCACCCTGTACCAATGTAGTATAGTGAAAAATCAGTTGAGGTTTCAATGTGAAGTATTCAAAATATCATCATTGAAGTAATCAATTATTTTCATTACGAAGTGAAAAAGAATATGACTTATCACCTCACGTATATTGAAGGATGGAATGCAGCAGGATTGTCTTGCTGAGAAAATTTGGGCAGAGATCCTTGTAGAATGGCTAATCGTAGAGCCAAAAGTATTCCAAGCTGTAACAAAAAATCGTCGTAATATTGAATCGATGAATCGGTATTCCCAAATAGGAGATTATTTGATGAGAATACAGGATCAAGGTCTGGTGAAATTATTCATGATTCATAATTTTTTTCTCATCAATTCATCGACAGACAGTCCATAATTCGAATCGAAAGACTGAATTATTTCTTCATCAGTATTTACTTTTTCATTGAGGCCACGAGAATTATTGAACAAAAAGACTATTATTTATTCAAAATCGATATACCTTTTCATTATCATCAAAGGGTGCATATTTTGTCATAGATGTACAGGATGATTGAAACTTTCCGCAAATGCAAATTTGGTAGATGAAATTTGGATAGCTGTGTCTAAGGTAGATTTTTCCGTAATATAAAATATTTCAAAATGGCGGAAAAGGCGTCAGAAACATTATTTTTTGTCATACACTGGAATAACTCATTCTTTTGAATAACTTCTAGCAAAAAAGTTTTCTTCTATCTTCATTTGGTTAGAAATCGAGTGGGCTTGGTTTCGATGTTGATATGAATGTGAAATGTATTTCAATTCGTATTGTTCACAAAACAATTTCTTTCCTAGTCGACTCGATTTTTATTATTGCATGGTCAGTATAGCGATCTCTTTGAAACTGCTAACTCTAGAGTCACATCTATCAACCAGATGGATATAAAAAAAAACTTATTTATGAAGAATGTTCAAAAAAATATGTTCTCTCAGAATATTACGAATAAATTGTAATTTTGTGGATAATAAAATTTTCCTGACGACATTTCCGCCATTTAGAATAAGGTTGAAAATTGTTTGAATACGAAAAAATATTCCTTACACACGGCTAATCAAATTATTTCTGCCAAATTTGCATTTGCAGTTTGCCTTTCACTATTATGAGCCAAAGGCAAGAAGTTTGAATCACCCTGTACATATCCAATATTCGAAATGAATGGAATTATATTTGGAAATGTATTTTCATAAGGATGTCTTGTATAATGGATATCGATCATTATGATATGTTAATGATTCCTTGGATAAGTGATTTTGAATAGGTACTATATTTTTTCAGTACAAAGAGATTTAGTTCTACAGGGTGTCCCTCCGGGAACTGCATCGATCGATATACAGAAAATCATAGGTGGGCCGGATTTGAAAATTTGAAAGATCACTATTGTTGATAAGTGCTATCCGGCTAAAATATAAATAAAATATAGAATTCAAACGATCCTGCATGATTGATTACAATGACATTTCCATGGCAGTTGATTGTTTTCAAAGCAACTGTGGGCGCCATGGTCAACTAAGAATGTAAACTCAAGAATACGAGATTTTCTGGGAGCTGAGACATGTTAATTCGCTAATATTTCGAAAACTGTTGAGTGTAGGCATAGATAACCTCATTCAAAGTGAGCTTCATTTTTGATGCCAAATCGAATGAGAATATGAAATTGGATGGTTCCGTTTTGCAAAAATTGACTTACAATAATTTTCTCAACCGGATCTATATCATTTTCTGGTGAACGCCCTGTATAATTGTGATCGCATTGATATCGAAATTCTTATGAACTGAGTCCTCTCCTACGAATAAATCGATACACAATCGAAAATAAATGATAATGTCCAGAAAAAAAAAATTTTTCGGTCTGCAAACGCAATTTTCAGCTTAAAATTTGAAATATTTCGAAAACGGTTGGACTTGGGTATAGGACATTATACATGAAACATATTTAGAATCATGCGTAGAATCTAAAACCTTGATAATATACAGGGTGTCTTATTTGAAATAACAGTGTTGGGGTCCACTTCCGGTACAACCGGAAGTACCACAATCTTCAAAATATTCTAGCCGGCTAGCACTTATCAACAATAGTAAACTCACGAATTTTCAAAGTTGACCCACCTATGGTTTTTTATATATTGATCGATGCAGTTCCTGGAGGGAGATCGTGTATATATGATGTTGTATATGAGATCCATATATTTTCTATCTATAATCTACCGTAAGTAAACTCGGATTGAATCGAATATACAGAATAAACAAAGATCGTGTGTTTCTGATACCTAAACTGAAGAGTTTGCCTCTGGCTGACAATGTTGATCCTGTCAATATTTGAGAAACAGCGATACGAATCCTTTTACATTGACTATCCGAAATTCCATAGCATTAAAAGGATATTTACCAAAGATTCTATCAAGATGAAAATAGTTTGTTCAAATGCCAGCCAACAGAAACTACCCTTTGAAAATACTAGGTATAAAAGCTGCCTTTGCGAGGAAGAAGTAATTATCTTACATTGGCATTTAAATTCAATTTGGAGTAGAAGTTTTTCGTGTTTGTGAAGTTTCCGTGAATCTTCAGTTACTTTCAGGGAAGTAGTTCGGTCCTAATGTACTTCTTCATTGTCCACAAAGGTGATTTCCAGAAACTTTGAATGTGTCTTTCAAATTTACATTCCTAAAGGGGTTCTTCAATTTTCGACCAAATTGAATCAGGGAATCATTGAAGTGCTTTCAACTTTGAATTATAACGAAATGATGTTTGGAATACAGGGTGTCTCACTGTGACATTCGATAGCAGAAACTGGAATATCAGATTACGTATTCATATGTTCTGTCCTGGACATTCTTGTTTTTATTATACGAGGTGTCGAAGTTCGCATACACTTTTGTTCTTCATTTTTTATCCCAGTGGAAACAAAACCTATCGACTTTTAATACGGTGGGCCCTTTTTCATTGGTAATATAATCAGTTCTCATCTACATTTGGTGTTATTCTTTTTTGAGCCACTGCAACATGTAACCAATCAGATTTTTTTCATTGGGATGCTCGACGCTAGGATCGTAGATTGGACCTGATGAATAATCATCATTTCTTCACCTCACTTCGTGTTTTTAATTTGTTTCAATATCTTTCTCAGTTCCCGAGTTATTTAGCATATTCGATTGGTATCATAAGAAGATATCATGGTGTGCTTTGGACATTGTTGAATATTGTTGAACTGTCAAACATATCAACATGTCAGCGAATCTTAACTTTCAATTCGGGTTGTTCATAGATTATTCTTAGTGCAAAAAGCTTTCAACAAGAAAGTATCAATAATTCGAATAATAGATATATCAAATAACAGTCAAACTAAGAAATACATCAGAACAAATGTATCGCAGACAGCAAAATGAATGTTTGAAGATCATTTTTAATCAACGATATTTTACTATTGAAATCTGTAAGATTCCATATCATTGGCACGGAAAAAATAGCACCCAGTGTACCTGAGTCTCTTCTCTATTGTTGAGTTATGTTTATATTGCCGATAGACAAGTGTTCACCAAATTTCAAATCGCTAGGTTCTGTTTGAACTGAGATAAAAAGTATGAACTGAAGATTCATGCAAAGTTCAACACGCCGTATAATGAACACAAGTTTCTCCACGACAAAACGAAAACAATGTATTTTTGCACCGTTTCAGTCATAGCAGAACGAGTAGCAGACTGAATTTTTTCATCACGAAAAGCTACACAGGGCGGAAAAGAAATAATCTCTGCATATGTTCAACTTTGATACCCTGTATCTCAAAAGTTAGGACGTTCACATTTTTTTTCTAAATTTCAACTCTAACGACGCCGATTGTCAATTTTTTTTTCAAATGTCAACATATATTTTTCATATCATTTTTCTGATAGAAACTTTTTCTCTATAGATACAGTCATGTATAACAAGTTGATTTTTGCACAAAATTAGTTGACAAAAATCAACTCTCCGCCGACAAGAAATGGGTCTTTTCATTACATTGTCTATCGAGTCATTGAAGTGGCAGTAGATGTCTCAGAATCAACTATGGCCATGAGCTGTCAGTGTGACATTTGTTCCATATTTTCAAACAGCTCAAGATATTCATTCTTCAAAATGAAACGAAATATGAATAATAATCAACTGACCGACATTATACAAACGTACTTTGAATGCGGGAGAAATAGTGGTCAAGCAATGCGATTATACGTTGACCGATTTCCTGACAGAGAAGTTCCAGATCGTCGTAAATTTGCTAGGATAGAACGAAATTTGAGAAACTACGGAGCACTCAAGAAACCTGAACGAAAGGAACGTCAGTTTGATGAGGATGTCGAATTTGAAGTTCTTCTTATAGTGTAGAAGAAAACCCAAGGACTTTGCTAACAACATTGGCGTTTCGTAAGAAGCACAAATTCATACCATACGTGCCCCAAAAAGTACAAGCACTAGTAGAAAATGATCGAGATGGAAGGGAACAATTTTGCAGGCATTTTCTGAATGCGATGCAACAAGATCGAAAGTTTTATAGAAAAATTATTTGGACCGACGAGTGTACATTCACTAATAATGGCATTTTCAATAAAAACAACCACCGCTATTGGAGCCAAGAAAATCCAAGAATTATCGTTCCAATGAATTTTCAAAATAGATTCACTGTAAATGTCTGGTGTGGTATTTGGTGCGATAGATTGATTGGTCCATTTTTTATAGATGGCGCACTAAATCAACAGAGATATCAAAAATTATTACATCAAAATATCTAACACTTTTTGAAAGAGTTGCCACTTGCCGATCTGAACAGAATTTACTTTCAACAAGACGAAGCCCCTGCTCATAATGCCCAAATAAATGTTGATTGGTTGAATGCTACATTTGCTGAAAGATGGATTAGGGACTTATGGACCAGTTCGATGGCCGCCAAGATCACCCGATCTCACGCCACTTGATTTTTGGTTGTGGGGGTATCTTAAAGATTGAGTTTATCAATCACGACCAGAAAATTTAAAAACTCTGCATCAGAGAATCATTGAAGTTTGTCGTGAAATACCTCCTAATTTTATCTGGAACGCAACTCATGGTGTAATTAGAAGGTGTGAAATATGTGTTCAACAGGGCGGGGCCAGTTTGAGCAATACTTGTAGTTTCCTAAGATATTTTGTTTTCGAATAATTATTATTTTTCTAACATTGTAATGTCTTTTTTCGTATAAGTGACGGACTCTACGTTCAATGACTCGATAGACAATGTAATGAAAAGACCCATTTCTTGTCGGCGGAGAATTGATTTTTGTCAACTAATTTTGTGCAAAAATCAACTTGTTATACATGATTGTATTCAGAAAAAAAAACTCTATCAAAAAAAAAATTGAAAAATATATGTTTCCATTCGAAAAAAAAATTGACAATCGGCGTCGTTAGAGTTGGAATTTAAAAAAAAAGTTTAGTGCCACCTCGTAGTATCTGATATATCATTTCATTTGCCTCTTTGTTTTTCAAAATCGGATAATAAATAGCGGCGCTATGACTTGGGGGGTTTTTGGTCAGTCAGCCTATATATATAAATTGTTCAATGATGAAAAAAGAAGGGCAACTTGTTTTAAATGCGATCCAGAAGACAGATGAGAAAGGAGGTAGAATTTGTAATTTTATAGTAAAATATCTCAATAAATAATGGTTTATTCAAATTTTCATTGTCAAATTCGTGTTTTTCAGACAAAAATACGTAAGATACCAAACAATATTTTGAAAAAAAAAAACCATCGCATGATGAATGCAGTATTATCTTTTTTTCTTCCCGTGGAAGTGAATTGACAGGTTTTTGTCCTTGGATGAGGAAGCTGACGCTTATTTCTGATGCAGTGAGTAGATAAAAATATCAATCTAATCATTGTACTTACCGATGTTAGAATTCTAGATGCTCTGTTCGCAACCTGTAGGGACCCTCTATTCCATTTCATCTCAGTCAGCGTCCTGAAAGTTGAGATAATCAAATTGACTTGTACCAGCAAAATGTAGGAGAGTTTATTGTATTCAGTATTCAGTCCTATTTATGATATTCCACCTTGTAAAGCCAATATCTCATAAATTCCACCCTGGCTCTGAATTGTTTGTCGTCAAGATATTGTCCCATTATTTCCTGAAATGGGCCAAGTTTGAGCCGAAACAATCACTGCCTTGTCCAGAAGATAGCTATCTATCTGATTAATCCGTCAATTTATCTTTTCTGACGCTATTGTGTTGGGTTTTATGTCAAAATTCTCTATTCATCACGTGATGAACGTTAACCGGAAAGACTTTTTCTTGGTGAAGTATAATCTTTTCCATAAGCGCCAACACGAAAAAGCCATTGAAAGTGTTGAAGGCACAGATTTTTTTAACGTTCTTTGAAAAGAGATGTTCTGCAGGTCCCCAAAGTGACCACGAAGGGATGCGAAGCCTCAACTTGACGGGTTAATCTCGCGGGGACTGCGAAGGGAGGAAAAATTGTTGATATTTCAGAAGAGCATCGTCCTCGAGAATATCTATGGAATAGAGCCAGATCGCCAACTTTTCTACGGTGTTCCAGAGAAGTGAATGAGTTTGTGAGCGAGGCATCACCCACGAGACGAATTGCCCTTTTTTGGACAGAATCCAACAGTTTCAGGGTATGTTTGGTTGCTGCACTCCAAATATGGGAACAGCATTCCAGGATAGGTCGGATCTGTGCCTTAAAGATCATGAGCAGCTGGCTGGAGGTGAAATAGCTCCTGGCTCGAAACAGAAAAACAAGTTTTTGGGGTGCACTTTTAGCAATTGATCTAACGTGATTTCCCCAAGAAAGATTAGTGCTGATAGTAATACCAAGCATCGATATGGATGTCCTCAGAGGTATGGTTACCTACCTAACCTGACAAGCCTATGTTGGGCACAGTGAGATCGGCTTTTCGAGAGAAAAGGCATGCTTGTGTTCTGTTTGCATTGAAAATCTACCGAGTTATTGGATCCCCAACAAATCGTTGATATGGAGTAGAAATAGTGTTGGTGCTAGAATTAATCCTTGCGGAACACCAGCATTTATGGTAAGAGAGTCAGATGAAACTCCGTCGACCAATTTGTGATTGGATCTTTTAATGACAGATATTTTCACGTCAAATTTCATGAACGCTTCGTAGTTTTATTGAAATGACAATGATATTCATCATCTGCATATAGAGGTTCATCATTAACATAATATTGTTATTATCTTTTGCTGAATCATCAAGAATCGATCAAGAGATATGAAGAAGAATACTTTTCTTTGGACTATTTCTCACTCAAGAATTTCGTTGATTTCAGAACCTCTACCTATATCAGTAAGTTTCAGAGTGTTGTTCTTTGATGTCCCCTCCACCCATTTTTTAAATGTGTTTGAAATATAAATTTAATAAACTGTCCTTGAAATTTCGTGATTTCAACTATTGGAAGTATCAGAAACGATAGTAAACACACTTTCAAAAGAACAATTTACTCAATGGAATGATATTATATCAAATTGGAATAGATGGCACTTGTAGTTTTGTCAAAAATAGGATATTCCATATTACCGGATATAGTTCATAGGGTGAATCATCAAGAATGGAATATCTCTGATTCACAGATAGTGAACACGAAAATGATGAAATTTTGCCCGATTTGCCTGATGAGAATGTTGCTGGTTTCGGATATACAGGGTGTTCTAGGGGGAGATTTTATTTCAAAGTTACACAATAACTTTGTTAGTTTCAACAGCATGAATATGAGATCTTGTATTTCTAGGTTTTCTGATGAAGGTATATGCATTTGCAACCCACATGCCTCATGAAACTATTGCTGATTTAAAAGATACAGGGTAGTTGAGGAGGAGATATTTTGAAATAAAGTCTTAACCACCCTGTATCTCTCAAACCACTAATATTTCGATAAGGCACGTTGGGCTGAATCTTGTTACATTGATGTTTACTATCTTTAGTTCAGAGATTTCCCATTCCTAATTCAATGAATGAAATAATTTAAATGTCATAAGTAGAAAATGAATCTCGTCAAGAGCGAATAACACGAAAACCGTTGGAGCTAGACAGTTCGATAAAGAGTACATTTTCCATATGAAATTGAATGAGCTTTCAGCTTTCCCACTTATTTTGATCATCAATGAATTGACATAGAAGATATGATGAAAATTATCGAAGCAACAGAGTGCCACTAGCGCTATGAGCAATCTCGAAATAAGTTGCAAATTGATGTTCCTCAAATCGAAAAAAACTAGAGATACAAGATCTCATGTTCATGCTATTAAAAGTAATAGAGTGATCGTGAACTTTCGATATAAAATCTTTTCCTAGATTACCCTGTATATCCTAAACCAGCAACATGCTCATGAGGCACATTGGGCTAAATCTTATTATTTTTGTGTTCATTATCTGTAGTTCAGAGATTTTCACCATGTATACAGTGTCATCCATAAAGTCGGCATCATATGGGAAAAACTTTTATGAATGACTTATTCTGGAATTTGAGTTGGACGTTAAGTTTTGCTTCAAAAAAGATGGAACATGGCCTACTCAATCGGGGTCACGTGACTTTCGCTAGATGTCAAAAGTGACATTTTTTCTAATTAATCGCTGAAAGTATGCTTATTTGTTCGGATATCGAAAAAGTTTACTCGGACAAGTTGTTTCTTTTCCAATTTCACATATGCTCTCCGGATTTGATTTTTCTATTGCAACTTTTAGATTTTGATTTTTTTTTTAATTTTTCAAAATTTTTGTTATATTTGAAGAATTGTTAATTCCACGAAACAACTTCATACCAGTAGCTTCTTCATGCTACTTACTTTCAATTACTTATTATCACTGATTACGGACAGAAATATGATTTTCTTCAGAAAATGATAATACCCGCTTCCAAATTCTGTTATGTTTGATGCAAAGTTGATATATCGTCAAGCATTCAGAAACGAAATTCATTTAAACGGATCTTTTCAGTACTAAAAAAATAAATTTAAATGAATTTCGTTTCTGAATGCTTGACTCAAACATAACAGAATTTTGAAGCGGAGATTATCATTTTCTGAAGAAAACCATATTTTTGTCGATAATTAGTGATAATTAGTAATTGAATGTTGGTAGCATGATGAAACTACTGGTATTAAGTAGTTTGATCGAATTTTAAAATTTCTTTGATATTACAGAAATTTCGGAAATTTTTAAAAAAATCGAAATCTAAAAAATGTAATAGAGAGATAAAATCCGAGTCACATATGTAAAATTTGAATAGAAACAACTTTTTTGAATGAACTTTTTCGATATTCGAAAAAATAAGCCTACTTTCAGCGATTAATTTGAAAAAATGTCACTTTTGACATGTAGCGAAAGTCACGTGACCCCGATTGAGTAGGCCATTTTTCATCTTCTTTGAAGCTAAACTTAACGTCCAACTCTAATTTCGAAATAAGTCATTAATAAAAGTTTTTCTCATATGATGCCGACTTAATGAATGAAGCTGTATACTATTGTGGTAGCAGATTGGGGATCCGTTTTTCTGCCTTGCCAATGGAATTGATGGTCCTTTCATCGCGACTTTCGGATAAAACCTCACCAACCTCCCATAAAATCCGTTGCATTATTTCGATGTCGTACCTTCTGAGACTGGGCCAGTGGAGATAAAAGTCGTGAGCCAAATTGAGCAGAAATACGGTGATACCGGTTTCTTTGGCCAGCATGCTGAGTCCGCCGAAAAATGTGCTGATCCAAGTGTGGTGTTTGCCGTCTTCAGAACTGCGAACGAAATCGAAATAATAATAATAATAATAATATATTTATTCACACACAACTCAACAAGAGGCAGTAAATAAATATGGAAGAACCACAGAAGGGCGAGCGTGGCAATTAACTAACATAAATAACAACAAAAAAACAACAAATATGTGGTACAACAATGATAGGTAGATACGTTTATACGTTACAAAATCAACATATCTAATGTGAAGAATAACATTAATGTAATGTAACATTCTGAAGCATTAGTCATCATCCTATTATAAGATTCGAAATGGAGACATCGTAGATACAACACTCAAACACATTTTCACCCACTCAGGACGGCTTGTACAAAGACGACCATTTATAAAAATACAACTTCGATAAGTGATTCGTTCTGATGCTACGATGCCAATGACTAAAAATGCTTCAATCTTCGATCACATGCATACATCTAATTTAGATAATTTATTAATTTCCCTCAATATATTATGCATCATGAGAATGAGGAAAAAATATATATATTCTAGAATTCAGTACATTGATGGTTGTGAAGAAGTGAACTAAACAAAAAGATTGATTGGGTATCAAATGATTTTTTTATTCCATAGCGAGGAGTAGAGAGTAACCAAATTTTGAGTTGTTGTCTGAATCGAGGTATTGTTTGTAGGCGAGTGTATTGATTTCATGCTTGTTGGTATAATGTTATATATTTTGGGTGCTAGGTAAAAGAAGGAATTCATTATGAAATGTATATCTGGTGTAAGAACATGAACTGATGTGGTTTTATAGTATAATATTGTATAGTATAGTATAGTACTTGTGATTTATCTGAACGAGTTCATGTTTATTCCTATTGAATCTCAAGAGTGTATTTTTTGAATAAAGTTGACGATTGTCATAGATTTCTGTTTCTATTGGAAAAGGCGAGGGGACTATTGACCACCAATGATGTGCCATATGTATGCATTGCAACAAATATTCTGTGTGGTGAAAATATTTCACTACAGAGTTACATAATTGTGTATGGACCAGGTGCTCTAATGGCAAATACCGCGCCAGTGCCAGGTATAGGAACAAGACGTATATAAAATGTTATGTTAGTGACCATATCAACAGTAATAATAGCGATTATTTTTTTATTTCTCTCCATACCCCACTGTGTTTAGCTTGATGATCGAATGTAGGTACATTATATCGTTGTTTGAGATAAAAACCTATTGCTGGCCGTGATTATTCGAAAACAAGTTATCCATCCTGAGAATAACGAATGAAAAACATATCAAGCAAGTATGTGAATCTTGAAGGCTTTCCTGATCAAAACAAAAATACTCAACTATACCCTTGATTATATACACTATTATCTATATCTCCAGTATGAGTAAGAAATGCCAAAGCTGTCGATATTAGAAAAAAATCAGGTATGCGTCCCAACCCAAATAACCAACCATAACAATGTTGTCCATTCTTGATGACCCCTCTCGTACATCCATTTTAAAGTTCAACTTCAGCTCCTAGGAACTGAATGTGTTGCCTAGCAACATAACTATTTTTGTGTCAGTAATAGAAACGTCAATTTAAGAGCTAATTTAGGTATTGAAATGGACGAATTCTGTGTCGGTTGCAGAAAAAGTTTTGTATTTCGCATGAACGCAGAAAGATAAATGAAAAAGTACCTGAGTTTCAATCATGAAGATTCTTTGTTCTCATTCGCATTCCAATCTGCGAGTGATAGCGTGGAATCGCATTAAAGAAAATAACGAAAAGCGAGGAAAGTAAAACCGCAAATGACATACGCACACAGACGAGCGTCGAAAATCGAAATCTGTGATCGGAAAATTTATTTCTGGGGAAAATAACGAGAGAATGTATTCGTATAGCTTATTGAAACCGAATTCGAATTGACAGTTGAACATACAGATAAGGGGAATGATATTCACCTGCTATCTGAATAAATTAAATTATATGACACGACATTCAGTAGGTATTTGTCAAATACATCTACAGTGTCAACGGCAAAAAATACTTAATCTATAGCTTAAGAAATCATACTATAGATGGATCATTAGATCAAAGATTGATTCTTATGTTGATCTCTGATTTATTGTGACAGTATACAGAGTTCGATAAATGAACTTATATTTCAAATTGTTCCGAACTTGATTAAATTGAAATGATTTTCCTGCATTACTTCTAAAAAGTGGAAGCCACCGAATTGAAATCTCATGGATGAATGTATGTTGGTAAAATACATTTTTCTGGAACATTTTTACATTTCTGCTATAGTTGAAGGATGGTTTCAGAGGGTGAGTCTTAGTTCTCAGGAATATAATGGAAAAAATACAAGGTAATCATCATAGTGTGATTGTCTTCCTATTTTCCGAAACAATACCTAAAAAGGAATATCTAGTGATGTTCAGCGAACATCGTGAGAACCAAGGAAAATGAGGTAGGAATTGGTGTTCTCAAATTTCTGGAGGTTGTATACCTCAGAGAACACCTCCCATGTCAATGTCTTCCAGAGCCTCACTGTTCGTTGGATGAACGAGTCTTTGGAAAGAGATGTTCTGCAGGTCTCCAAAGTGACCACGAAGGGGTGCAAAGTCTCAACTCGACGGGTTAATCTCGCGGGGACTGCCAAGCGAGGAACAATTGTTGATATTCCAGAGGAGCATCATCCATGAAAATATCTGTGATATAGAGCCAGATCGCCAACTTCTCTACGGTGTTCCAGAGAAGTGAGTGAGTTTGTGTGCGAGTCATCACCCACGAGACGAATGTCCCTTTTTTGGACAGGATCCAACAGTTTCAGGGTATGTTTAGGTGCTGCACTCCAAATATGGTAACAGTATTCCAGGACGGGTCAGATCTGTGCCTTATAGATCATAAGCAGCTGACTGGAAGTGAAATAGCTCCTGGCCAGAAATAGAAAACCAAGGTTTTGGGATGCACTTTCACCAATTGATCTCACGTGATTTTTTCAAGAAAGGTAAATGAAATGAAATGGAGAAAGTAATAAGGAATAAACTTTCAAAGAGAGCTGAAATTAGATACAATTGTAACGAGATAGATCCTGTACTATTAATGAGAGGGAGCTGATTTGGTTAACTTCCTGGACTATAGGGATATATGTTGAGAAGTCGTCAACTTTGATAGATGTTGTTATAATAAATATTGATTGAACTGTCTAATATACGTTGATCTTTTCATTAACTCTTGCAGTTATTCTGTAGAATTGAATCTATTAAAGGTTAATTCAAACACCAGGCATTGCACCCGTAAGAACCCTATACAATTGGCGCCCAACGTGGGGCATTGCACCCGTAAGAACCCTATACACAATCCATTTTTCGTCAAACGATCTGTTATTACTTCGAAAGAAGTCAACCATATCTATCTGGATACGGCTCAATGCCTTCTTATGATATGCATACCCAAATCTGCATAAAATAATAATGTCTTGCTTTTTCTTGATTGCAACGCTCAATTGAAAATTCCAGACGCCTCACAATGCAGTCGGTCTTGTTATTTTCAAAGGCTGCGATCCGTAATTATTTTTTCATGATACGAATACAAATTCGCGCAGCGCTGTACGAGGAACCTCGTTTGCCGTCATACTTCAAAGGACTATTCCGTGGATTCGACGTTCGATATTCTGATTCGTCCTTTGGAACTCGGTCTGCCTCCAGCAAATCTCTTGATACTCCTCAAGCGAGGAATTCATTTGGCTCTCAGATCATGTCCTACTAGATGATGCATCTGAGGTTATTGGATTTAATTGAAATCTATATACAGGGCGAGTCATTGAAATGAGAAAGTGAGATAATGGCTTCGCTGTTCGAGATAGATGAATAAAAATTGTGTGATAGTCTAGGCTCATGAGCAGGATATTTCTAAATAACTTTACGTTTATAGGGTGACTCAAATATGTGTGGCGTATCACAGTTATACTTCTTATTATAGGGCACCCTGTATTTTATTGCATTTTCGGATTCTCCTTTGTGAGCTGATTTCATCAATGCATCACACTTGGGGTCTAGCGAGAATGATTACAGAGATATAGGGTGTTCAAAATCGAGATTTTCCAACTTCAGGATTTTTTGTGTCGAAACCATCAATTATTATTGGTGAGAAGGGCTCACATGTCTCCATCTCAACTCTTGATTCACTATCTACTGATATTTGATCTGGAAGAATACAAAGTAGTTCGGAATTCATGATTGTTAACCACCCTGTATTCGTTCAAACCAAATATCAGTAAATAGTACATCAATAGTTGAGATAGGGACATGTGAGCCGTTTCGACCAATGGATAATAAATAAATAATTGAAAAAATAAATAGTTTCGACTCAAAAAAATCCTAAAGTTAAAATATCTCGATTTTGAACACCCTCTATCCCTGTAATCATTCTCGCTAGACCCCAAGTGTAATGCATTGATGAAATCAGCTCACAAAGGAGAATCCGAAAAAGCTTCATTGGGGTGTCCCATGAAAAAAACTAACTTTGATACGTCACGCATTTTTGAGTCACCCTGTATAACCATCACAAAATTTTTTGTTTATCTATCTCAAACAGCGGAGCCATTATCTCACTTCACCATTTCAATGACTCACCCTGTATAATTATATAAATCCATGTATGTCCTTCATTGAATCGTAAACGGCTTGTTCTTATTTTTTGTAATCCAATCGCAAATAAATGTCGCTATTTGAATAATAATAGTTAGACACGAAAATGTAATCTTGCCAACTTGTCTTATTCATATATATCATACTTGTCACTGAAACTTCGCGATTGTAATTTTCTGATATCACCTGAGGTCCTTAGATTAGTTTACTTCCTATCATGGCCACCTAGATGTAATTTCAAAAGTGACTCCGAAAAAATTAAGTAGTCATAAAAACTTCCGAAAATGTCACATTCTGATCTTGAATCGTCTCAAAAATCCAAAAATGTTACAATATACAGGGTGTTCCATTTAAAAATTTAGAACCGGAGACATTTTTGGTGAAACCGGAAGTGACCTATAAGTGACAAATATGTGAAAACTCTCCTCTTCACATACCATTTACCTATACCAAATCTCATTTTGATACACCTAATGGTCTAGAAGTTATGACTTGTCTAATAGATTCGTTGACACCCTGTATACGTTGGTGAACCAAACACCCTGTATATCAATTTTTACAAACTACACAGGGAGATGATAACCTCAATATAGAAAACGTTCCTATTGTTCTTTCTAATTTGGTACGTGTTTCGACCCCATTTCGTGCTAGTTAGGCCATGTGACATCGGTCCCTAATAATTTAGACGTCACCTCGCCTCACTGTTCAATTGAATCTGGATAAATTATTCACATGGAAGGCTGGAAGATACCGCATTCCCAAAGTTCCCATCATTTATATTTCCAGCAGAGTCGACTGTTTTCTTTAGAGAACACATGGGAAATATGTTCGAAACGTCCAGGCGATTTCGATGTATATACATTGTATTATACAATATGCATATACGACACGCTACACGCTTTCTGACTTGCCATGCCTTGTACCTTCTGCAGATTTAAATAAAACATCACGTGGGTTAGTGGAAAAGAAAACGAAGTTCAACGCAGAGACTTCTGATCCCGACTTTATGCTCCAGTTTGTTTTTTTTTTCTCTGTGCGAAATATTGGAGCGGCATAGTAGAAAAACTCATAACAATGGGGAAGATTCCTTCAGATGAATTTTGATAAAATAAGTTCGGAACTCTCTAGTTTTTTGTCCACTCTGTACAGAATGGCGACCGATGAAGTCCAAGTCGTTTTTATCTTCAAATTAAAGCAATTTTTGATTTGCGGGACGGCAAATGGTGACGTACATTCTGAATCTAGTCTGAAAACAGCTGATGGTGAAGAATATAGCTGGCGAATAGCTAACGAATAGCTGACGAATAGAAAAAATAGGAGAAGAAGTGAAACTGGTAAACGAAAACATACATAACCACAAATGCACTCGGAGCAGGAATGCAGAAGGTAGTTGGCTTCATTCTGACAGTTTATGGTTTTGTTATTTATGCATTGAAATATCTCCAATAGAGCTCGATCCCAAACAAAAATATCATTGAATCAATGAATCACTATCGGCAACATTCAATGATACTATCCTTCCTAATTTACTGCCATCGGTCAGAACAGAATGAAGCCGACACCCATGGCTCCTTCCTCTTGTTGTGCCTGTCAGTATTCAATCTGCAACTTTCTCCGAAAATAGATCCGTTTTATTAATAAACGAATTCATTAGCAAGAAATGACTGACAAGTTATGAATAACATTGTAATATAACGATAGACAAAAATTATGGATACTATCGAAAAATATCATAATTTATCTTCATCAGTGATTTTCATTCAGCTAATGAGAAATTTATTGCAATTATTCATAATACTTGACGAAGTAGGATTGAAGAACCTATTGTATCCCATTGCTGCTATGATATAGTTGTTATGCATTCAAAGAACAATATCCAGAAATCTAGTATATTGGTGATGTCGGCAACGTCGTACTGCAAATAACATAACATATTGTACAATAATATTCGTATCGTACATTTATATGTTAGGTAAATAGAAATTTCGTAGACGTATTGTAAATATCTATATGCACTGTATATCGTATATACAGATTGTGTAATGAATACAAGACACTGAACATGAATAAATTATTACTCACCCATGATAAGACAGAACCGATATAAGAAAAAATACACAGGCCAAAACATCTGCTCTTCCTACGATGCCAGTCACCTGCAACAGAGGAGATTATTTACAAGGTGATTTCAAATGGTATCGGAGAATCAAGAAAGAATTGAGTTTGAGTTGACATCTTCATTTTCACATTTTTTTGTGTAAAATGGAAACAGTGCGTTTTTTATTCAGCTATTATTGAATTCATGCATCATCAACGAAACTCTTCGGTTCTAGTTCAACTTCATAATGAGATTTGAAACGCATTTTGAAATTTCCAAAAAATTGTTCATCGTACACGCCATCTATCATCGCATATAAGAACCCCAAATTCTGAACTCGCATTCAATTGTTTAGATCGAGAGTTAGTCTGACGAAACAATTGATTGTTTTGTGAAGATGGCAGCACGCATCCTACACTTAGTTTTCTGTTAACCTACGGTCAGATTTGAGTCGGTCAGGAAGCAAGTTACAGGTGTTATTAAACTGGTGTTGCTAAAAATCATTTTTTTAATACGCCGGTACAAATAATAATTTCTGTTCCATTTATTTCTTCGGATTCGTACTTTGTTGAACATAAATTATGATATATGAGGAACGTGAAAAAAATTGGTACATAATATAAAGGATTACATTGAGGATTGGCGTTCTCTATCTGATAAAAATATTAATTCTCCCTCGGTATATTCAACAGAAAACACTTCTTTCTGGCTATATGCAACGACGATTTTCGAATTAGATAACATCCATGTTCTCCATGTTCATAATATAATCTTATAATATTACTTTTCAATATCTAACTTCCGATTATTTGAGAGATAACAATCATCCTTTTGATTTATTAGATCACGGCAAAGCTATGGCCAGTAGAAGAATTTTCCAGAACTTATAAAACAAAATTCCAACATCTACCTCTACCTCCTTCAATCCCTAGGAACGCACAATTGTTCTTCGAACAATATAGGCATTTAATTTCGTGCGCTCCTAGAGATGGAGAAGTTTTTAACTGCTCTCTTATTTTCGATTCGATAAGATTATTATATGAATTTCTTTTCCTGCGTTCCAAAAAAAAAACAGTTCATAGGATACTGTCTGTAGGATTGACAACTTGAGGCATAGTGAAATAATATAAAAATCATTGGAAAAGAAGATAACGACCAGAAGAGAGAAATCAAGAAATCTGCTTGCATTCTTCTGAACGGAGACAATGGCATTGCTTCCTGTTCAGTTAATATAGATAGAACATGGTATTCACTACTGAAATCTGAAAATTAAAATGGTAAATTCAAGATTGATTAATGGAAACATCCTGTAACTAATTTGATTGCCAACGTCACCAATTGTCACTGAGAACTGAAAAGTGTCAGGACGAATACGAATTTTTACATACAAAAAATCCATTTTTTATGTTGAAAACGTCCAAAGATAGGTAAAATTTTTATATTTATTCTACATACCTTTATTTCTCTTCTCCAAACCTTTTTCAATACAAATTGTCACTGACAAGCTAGTGAAGTTTTCTTTTAGGCTCTCTGATAGTAAAATTCTATAAACGCAGTGACCTTCTGGGGAGAATCATCTGATTTGTCCTCACTACACGTATATTGTCTCGAGTTGATAGTTCAATATAAAAAATGGATATCGAGAAGGCCGTTTCTGAATATACTGCATCACCGTTTTTGATTTTTTTTTACCTAAATGAGATTTTGTCCTATTTTCTCATCATCCCGTATATTCTACAATGAAGCTTTTTTCGTCTTCCATTGTCCTCCACAAAACATGTGAACAGTTCTTCCCAATATTCAGCTCAAGTGGAGTACTTGAGAAGAAATCAAAGAAGTTCAAGACTATCGAAAAAAAATCAAATTTCTCTCTGGTAGTAGTCCATGCTCAAATTGGAGGTGATGAGATAATTAAGAGAACAAACTCAAAGTCTCGCTCCAAGTGAATTTCAATCAAATCATATGTGCTACATGTTTCGACTCCTAGGAGTCATCATCAGGCTGAAATACAAAACTTATGAATAATAGAAGTTCCATCACTATTGGAAAATGGCTGACATACCTTGCTAGGTAGGAGGAGAAAGGAAACTATAGAATTGACGACATAGTTCGTAAGGGTTTTAGGCCCCAAGTAATTTCAGGAAACATTTTTGAATTTTGGTTTTCTGAACCCCCAAATAAACATTTTTCCTAAGATGCTTCTTTTTGGATCAAATAAACAGTGTATACAGCAAATGGCGCGAGTATGAAGTAAACAAACCGACAGACCACTTGATTTGAAAGATATAAATGGTAGATAAATTTTTTTTTTCTACAAACAAGTGACAAATGTCATCTATCAAGAACACATAAATTTCTGTTCCAATGACCAATAAAGGAGGAGTCACGAAAATATCCCGAGATGGGTTCCCAGTGTATCATAATATGACTGACTTTGGATCAGAAAAAAATTTCTCAACTTCTGGCAGCATTGGAAATGTAGACCATAGTGTAATGGTTCTACTTTACACCCTGTGTAAGTTCTGTTTTCTTCGGACTTCTTCAGAGTGTTCTAGCTCTCTTTGAAGCCGATGCAATATCACATCTGATATCGAAAACCGCATGAAGATCGGTAAATTTTTTCAAAATAATACATGTCTTCAAAAAAGAGTCAAGTTATGAGTGGTCCATTCAGTGTGTTGAGAACTATTGTATCCATATTTTTCGATTTTATTGAGACGAGGAGAGAAAACTCCCAGAAAAATACTGAAATAATCAGTTCAAAGAACTTTTTGTTTTTTGTTCGATGTGATTCACAGCCCTACACACTGAGAGGATATATCATATCTAAATATCTCAGCTTTACGCAACAGCAGTGGAAAACAGAATTGAAAATCGATAGAAGCAGGAATGAGAAAATAATGATACATCCTGTAGGGTATGATTGATACAGCTAATATCGCGTTATTGTGCTGTGTATGGCTCGCTAGTCAGGTGGAAAATTTACAACAGTTCGGAAGCCCAATATAAATTCCCCTTTTTATTGTATCAGCAAGAAATATATCCCCGGTTTATTAGAAGATAAATCAAATTGGATCCGATGTTACTGGTTAATCTTGTACGAGTAGGCAGAACATACCACCTGATGCTCTGATTGCCAGCTAGGATATTTTTTGGACATTTATTTTACTTAAATGGCCGTTTCAGAAGACACACGGTCAGTCCAAATACTATTAAATTGCCTTATATTATGCGAAGGATTACCTTCAGCTTCCTATATGTGTTTATTTGTGGCAAAAAGTAATTCAGATAAGTACTTTGTAGTTCACTAAGATCGACACCTATACAGAGTGATACTTTGAAAGATTCCCACCCTCAATATCTTCTCTTCCAGTGGATGATATAAAAAATCACAGAGAGAGTTTGATTTCATTTTCAGAAGGAACACTCAAGATGAGTATCTTCAGCCCTTTTGGTTAAATATTCCCCTTAGAATCTCAAATGGGAACCTTTTCATCATTTTCTCTTGAGCAGTGCACAAAAAATACCGTGTCAATTTGAATACTCCTCAGCCACTAAATAATATGAAGAATCGAGAAGACAGGTCAGGGTCAAATTAATTTTCAGGAAGGACACTTTGAATGTACATTTTTAGTCCTCCTGGTACAACCCTCTAGGAAGGGTAGATGTTACACTTAGAAACTTTTTTTCTTTCATATGTTCTGGTCCCCACGAAAAGGGATATCCTCTAATGTTCAGAGAACATCGTGAGAACCAAGGGTAATAAGGTAGGAATTGGTGTTCTTCTTACATTTCTGGAGGTTCTATTCCTCGTGGAACACCTCCCTTGGCAATGTGTTCCAGAGCCTCTCGACAGATATTGGAATGACGTCAGGCGCAAATAGCTGCTATATCAAAGGAGCAGGCAGTTTATCAGCGATAGAAAAGGTGCATTCTTTCTTATTGATATCAAAATGACTTACGACATCGTCAAATAGCGTTTTCGGTGTAGGAGTTGATTCATCATATGGAAAATGCGAATTCTCAATGTATTTCTTTATATATATATATATATCCATTTTTCCATTTTTTCATTCATAATTCATCTGAGAATATCCTTTTTCAAGACTATACCTTTTCAACTTCAATTTCGGAATCGGTAACTTATATTTCGGAAGAAGTAATCTCGATTTCGGAATTGGTTACTTCGATTTCAGAAATGGTAAACTCAATTTCAGAATCGGTGAGTTGAATTTCAGATAAAGTCCATTCAATTCCAGAAATGGTAAGTTGTATTTCAGAATTTGTAGGTTCAATTTCAGAAAATAAATCCTTTTGTTGTTTGAAATATTCCCAATTGCATGTGTGATTAACATACCATATCACAATATTCAACTGTTCAAAAACAATTCAATAACATAATTATAATCCACAGATGTCTTCCATCCAAATCGCAGAAGGATAGTAGCGTTGCACATGATTATAATAATGCAAAACACATTTGAGGTGATATCATTTTCATTGAGAATGATCTGCACATTCTTCAAGACATCGCAGTCTGAATTCTATCTGGTTGAGTAAACTGTTCGGATCCCCAGCTATGACCCTCTGGCGATGCTCTTGAAAAAGCTCTTCACTTCTGACTTGAAGGCGCTCCATATATGTTCAATCGAATTCAACATAGGGCTGTAAGGTGCCAATCTGCAAAATATAACATTCCTCCATGCATATCTCTTCTATTTTTGAATGTGCAGGTGCATTATCCAGAACTACCGCTATGGTATCTGCAGGATGTCTATTAAACAATCTTCTCTTTTGCAATTGAGGAATTTCAAACATATATAAGGATTCATCTTCTGAAATTGAACCTACCAATTCTGAAATGAAATTTACCATTTCTGAAATTGAATGGACTTTTTCTGAAATTCATCTCACCGATTCTGAAATTACGTTCACCATTTCTGAAATCGAACCAACCAATTCTGAAATCGAGATTACTTTTTTCGAAATATAACTCACCGATTCCGAAATTGAAGTTGAAAAGGTATAGAGATTGTTCATAACAAGTTTCCTCACGGA